CTCCAAATCAAGCTTTTGTTTCTCTGCCAAGACCAGGTTCAGGACCAGGCTATGGGAGCACAGATGTAACTGATGTTAATTTGCTGCACCAAAGTCAAAAGAAGCCTGGAGATGAGATTTTCCAGCCTGAAGAGGTGTCACTCAGCAGGAGATAAGCAGAGCTCATACAAAAGCTACAGAGCTTATGATTTTTCTCCTCTGCTCTGTTACTGCTTTTCTACTTATTCTTTCTACAATAATATATTTTGAAGGACAAATGAGTCTTTGTATTTATGTTTAACATAAATGCTTAACTGTATATCCAAATATATATTTAACAGTATATTTAACTGTATATCTAAATGTCTTCATGATACTGACATTGAATCACCCCAAATGATGCACCACAGTAAAGATATGACTGCCTGAAGTAGCCTAGCATTAATGAGGTAGATTTCTTATCTGAGCAGTTTGGAGAGAGAAAGACTAATTGTGTAAGCCACTTATTGAACGTGAGGTTTGCAGATTTGACTATTGCTTCCAAGGACCAGGAAATGTGTTGTGTTCATTAGATCTCAGGGTTACTGTTTTCATCCATTCAGGGTTAGTGTTTTCATCCATTTAAGTTAACAAAAATCATTTTTAAAATCCTGTTTACTGGACCAACTATCTGCCACTGAATTAATCTCACACTGTTAATGTGATTCTAATGGTCATTTTTATTTGATGACTGCATCATTTAATTTTATTTAACTACAATCAGCATTCATCAAGTACAACTTACTGATAAATTTGCTGTCTACTTTGCTCTGCTTCTAAATTGATGTCACACTGGGATTGGCTAAAATCTTGTACTGATTTAGGAGAGCTACATGTGCACTGTTGGTGAGCTGCAGTGTAACTGTTCCTTCTCTTGAATGCTCCAGCTTTACCTTCAGTTTTCTTATTTTCCCTGTGAGAGAAAGATTTCTAAATGGAATACTTTAGTGTTTGATCAATACAATTTTTTGCAATTCTTTAAATATGGAAGCGTGAAAGAGAAACGTGTATCTCAAGGTGAGGAGTTAAAATGTAGATTTGCATATAGATAAAGAACTTCAGTAATTTTCAGCTGAATTATCCTAAAAAATGTGAACACAAGTCCAAGCCACTAAGCACTTCATTTAATTTGGAAGAAGGAACAGGAAGGATACAGAAGATTTGAAGGCTTTATTTGGAATTTTTTCTTTCATGCATAACTCATGGGGTGACTGATACTACTGATAATTTCTGCTATAATAATTATTTTAATTTTCTAATTTTCAGAGATGGTGAGTCCTTCTCACCCCACTTGAAATAGTATTCATGGGCAAATTTGTGATGTATTTTGGAGACCAGTGTCTTGTACCTTACTCATCCCTTGCTGCACAGCAGAACTCTTGGGCCTGATCCAAAGATACCAGTGCTGAGTGAATCAAGCCCAGCCACTTTGTAGCTTTCAAGGAATTAGCTTTACAAGAGGAAACGAGTGGATCATTTTACATTTCTGGCTCTTTTTTTTTTGTTTTTTTCTTTAAGATGTGGGAGACTTCCTCCATTTCACACATCTGGCATATAGACCAGCCAGTCCTCCTTCCTGAGAGGAGAACACTGCAAACCAGCGAACGGAACATTTCTTCCTCTGCTTCAAACTTCTGCCAATGCCAATGAATGATTGATCAAAGCTGGGATTTTGAATTCAGAACATCTCTGCAGTTACGAAATGCTTAAAGGCTTCCTTCCTCTTAACCAAAAAAAAGAGAAAGATGACACTGGCTTGGGAGTAATTCAGTTCCCCTCTGAAGAGATTAATGTGCACTCCACAGTATTGCTTTGGCCGAATTATCATCTAAAATACGTACAGCACTCAGCTAGCATTCAGCACTCTGTATGTGTTTAAGTGAATGCCAATTTTGTGATCTTAGAATCTGAGGGGTTTTTTTCACTTCAAACAATTGCCACATCCACATCACCAAGATGCTTTATCACTGAGACATGTTTCCAAGGAGTTCACACAAAGCAGATACTTTGCAGAACAGTTGTTATAAAGTAAGCATTTTAACATCTTTCTCCTCAAACGAAGGTATTTTATGGCTAGTATCTCATCATAAGATCCGTCTTATGCCTTGTATTTTTGTCTTACACTTGCAGCAGAAAAATAGACTTAAAAAAACAGACTTTACAACCACTCACTTTGGAAACTTACTCCTCCAGCTGTGAAACAGACCACACCAGCACTAAGAAACATTAAATAATGTCAGGCAGAAAGAACTAAAAAAGAACCTCAGTATTCTGCTCACCTGGAATTTCACATAGGAATGCAGAATGTTGACTTCTAAAGCTCATTAACAGAAGGAGAAAAAAATCAACTCATTTTGACAGAAAAATACCCTTTTTTTTTTGATCACAATGAAAAGCAATGGAAATAAGATGAAGCAAGAAGACCAACAAGAGGACTACCTCATGCTTGCAGCAACACCACAGCTAGCCTGGATGCACGATATCTCTGAATAGGGGAACAAGGTTGGTGCAGTATCATCCCATCATGAGCTGGGAAGAATGACACTCATTCCTATGCTCAACATGCAAAGAGCAAACATAGAAACAACAGACCATTTGGTTGAAGATTTTAAAATTGAAACGCTTGTTTCTGTGCAGTGTGACAGTGAAGTGGGATTTGGATTCACAGACACTGCCAAACCTGGTATTCTAATGCCTCAGTAGCATCTTTCTGGAGGATGACTAAGTGAGGCAACTTTTAAACAAACTATGCATAAATCTGTAGGGCTTGTAAGGATGCACACACATGTGCAGAAGCTGGCTGATGGCATTGTGAGGCCATGCTTGCTTATTGTTTTTTCATGGTGATAAGAGGGGTTCCGGAGACTGAAAGGAAGCAAATGTCATGACTATCTTCAGGAAGAGAAAGAGCAAGACAGGTAACTACAGGCTGGTCAGCCTCACCTCAATCCCTGAGAATGGAGCAACTTATGCTGGAAACCATTTCCAAACACATGAAGGATCGGAAGGTGATTGTGAGCAGGCAGCATGGATTCATGAAGGGGAAATGGTGCTTAATCAGCCTAATAGCCATCCACAATGAGGTAACTAACTCAGTGAGCAAGGAGAGAGGTGTAGGTGTTTACCTCAACATCAGCAAGGTGTTTGACATGGTTTTCCATCAGATCCTTATAGATAAGCTGACAAAGTACAGGCTAAGTAAGTGGACAGTGAGGTGGACAGAAAATTGTCTTGGGGCTCACTGTGTGGTCTAATCAGCCTTGGTGAGAGAGGTGAGCAGAAAAGGTTTTAGATTTCTTCACCTCATAGATGTTGCCACTTAATGTCTTCTCAGTTTGAAGTCATCACATAAAATGGATAAAAGATTGCCTGGAGAGAGAGACCTGTGTAACTGAGTAACTGTCTTGATACACACAAGAACTTTGGTGAAAAAATGCCATGTGTCTGGTACTTAAGCTTGTGTTTAAGAAAATATAAGAAGATTACCTCTTTTTATATTTTCTTAAACACAAGTTATTTTCACTGAGATGTTGAGAGCTAGATATGGATACAATTTACTCAGCTCACTTCTGGGAATAAGTTGTTAATGTCCTTGAGAGAGATAAAATGCCTGCTGTGTACCTCAGCGTTTAGAATCCATACAGTTCTTTTCAGCTACGGGTACTATGACCATAATCCAGGGCCATCAGGATGAACTGTTAAAAGTCAGAACAATTGACAAGATTCTGAGACAGGAACAGGTAACCTGGAGATCCCTGAACAGCACAAAAACATCATGCTGGAGAGAGGACTTCTATGACAAGCATCGCCTGGGAACACCACAAAAATCTGTAAACTCTGCCCTGCTATTTTACAGAATCACTACCAAAGAATAAAACTATCCCCTGCCCTGAGTGGAAGCAAATTTAAAGCAGTCTGTTTACTCAGTCTGCAGCTTTTTTTCCATTGTTCATTAAAATGTGTTATTGTAGCAGAAGTGGAATTCAGATCATCTCTGATGATTTGGTTGGTGAGAATATTAGACTTCAACTTTATCTCAGCAAATAATGGGCTCTCTCTGCAATAGCTGAAACTTTGACAGGAAGGAAGAGACATTAGTGGAAATTTCCCCTAGATAACAGTCCTTGGTTTATAGAAATCCTGTTCTATTATCTCTAAATATTATACAGACACACATATACAGAGCAACAGCATTTACTGTGCTGAATTTGGAAACATGTTCTTCTCTGTGAGAATCTTAAATATTTTTGCTTTACATAACTCTTTATACTCCCAATGACAATCACAGATTTGAGAAACTCAGTGACATAAATACAGAACTTCTATTTTAATCGACTCAGCACATTTTCTAATTCTTCGTCTACCCCAGTTCTATGAAGTGAAGCATACAGTCTACTACTTTTTTGGAAAACTTTTCTAAGAGAGTGGAACAATTACAAATCCAGACCCTGCTCCTTGTCATTATTTTTTAAAAAGGCTGGATTACTGTCTGGCTAAGATTCCTATCTACAGTCAATTGTGCTTTTTTTTTTTCTCTTTGACTGGGACTAGGGTTACAACATATAAGGTGGAAAAAATTATCAATAGGAAGTTTTTAATTACATGTAGAATGTGCAGGAAATACCCACATGGAAATTTTGTTTTATGTAAATGTTTTCTGAAAGTTCTGAAAAACACATTGTTATTTCTGCATCAGTCCTGGTTTTCTTCTATGATGTTGGATCTAAGTATTTTTTCAAAGTAGAGGTTGTGCATGACACTGCAGCTTGAAACCTGAGGGAAAAAAAAAATTGCAGAAAATACAAATAATTTTCCCTGTTATTTCTTTTATTGGTGAATACTACAAAAGTAAAATGCTCTGTACAAGATCAGTAATAGTTACGCTTCACTTTGCATGAAAAAAGTGAATTGTTCTCATATTAAAAAAATATAAAGAAGTTAATCAGTTCTCTATTGGGAAATGAAAATTTTCTAATACATAAAGTACATTTGCTTTTATTGTAAGACTATTTTATTATAAGACATTTATAGTATAAAGCAATTCTGACTCAAAAGGATGCTTGTCCTCCTTAGGTGCTTTCCTTCTTTGTCATAAGTTGCTGTTTAAATAGGGATGTTATATTACCATTAATCTTATTATACACTTCATTTAAGATAATGTGTATGACAGCCTGCCAGGTAATCCTTATTCAAGGAAAAAACTCCTGTTATGTTTGGCAGCGATAGGCCTACAAGACAACTAGAGTGCAAGCAGGCTAAAGTTTCACATTTCAATCCAGCAATGGGCCTCAGTAAAATATTGTGATGATTTTACACTCATTGCGCAGTATTTCTTTTTAATTTCTACAAGTTTATAAAATTCAGAAGTTAATTTCTAAAATTTTAACTAACTGTTGCAAAAGAGGAATAGTATTAAAAACTGTGACTTCTAAAAACCTGAAAGAACTACTTTTAAGAGTCTGTTGCCATAGTGGTGAGTGAATGAGTTCAGCATCTAGTTTTCCATGCGGCCTGCGGACATCTTTCATTGTTGGTCCCCTGGGGCAGGAAGGAAGTGCCTGGATTCAGTTCTTGGTGTTCTGTAAAGCTTCTATGAGAGCTTTGTTGTATTCTGTGACCAGCTTTCTCACGTTCTTCATTATTGGCTGGTAGTCACTCTCCTGACTTTTTGTTGCTATGACTGATTAAAAGAACTAAGGAAACAAGCTGCCAGTATAAATATTAGGATAATTAGGGACCATAAGGAAACCACAATACAGTAAGTTTCCTTCTGTGAAAACTGTCAAGGGGTGCAAATAATGGAAAAACCTCAAACTGGGTCTAAAAGATTTACACCAATTTACTAGCTGCAATCTCATGCCAAGCATTGTAAAAGAATAAAAAAAGAGTACATTGCCTGAGTCAGTTTTATTTTCATGTATATAGGCAATAGGTCACTTGTGGAAGCCTCTTCTCATTGTAACACTGCAAAGAAAATCATTTCAGGTCATAGAATCACAGAAAGCTTAGGGTTGGAAAGGGCCTTAAGATCATCTAGGTCCAACCCCTGTGCCATGGGCAGGGACACCTCCCACTGAACCATGTCACCGAAGGCTCTGTCCAACATGGCCTTGAACACTCCCAGGAATGGAGCATTCACAACCTCCCTGGGCAACCCATTCCAGTGCCTCACCACCCCCACAGTAAAGAACTTCTTCCTTATATCCAATCTAAACTTCCCCTGTTTAAGTTTTAACCCGTTACCCCTTGTCCTATCACTACAGTCCCTAATGAAGAGTCCCTCCCCAGCATCCTTATAGGACCCTTTCAGATACTGGAAGCCTGCTATGAGGTCTCCACACAGCCTTCTCTTCTCCAGGCTGAACAGCCCCAACTTTCTTGGCCTGTCTTCGTACAGGAGGGGCTCCAAGCCCCTGATCATCCTCGTGGCCCTTCTCTGGACTTATTCCAACAGTTCCATGTCCTTTTTATGTTGAGGACACCAGAACTGCACACAATACTCCAAGTGAGGTCTCATGAGAGCAGAGTAGAGAGGCAGGATCACCTCCTTCTACCTGCTGGTCATGCTCCTTTTGATGCAGCCCAGGACACGGTTGCCCTTCTGGGCTGCAAGCACACACTGCCAGCTCATGTTCAGTTTCTCATAGACCAGCACCCCCAAGCCCTTCTCCACAGGATGAAGTCACTCAGCTATTTACAGCCATAGATTCAGTTGTGTCACTTACTCTGCAAAGGGGTTCACATTTGGATAGGCAATACACTGTAGCAAGTAAGGAGGTGCTTTTAATATAAACCTATTTTTTCTTGGTTTGTTTTAGTTTTTTGTGTTAGAAAATATAGGATCTAAGATTTTTGCCTTAGTAAGATATTCCTGTAGAGTCTTCTTCATAGATGAGGTGCTAATTACCTTACATTGTCCAAGATTTTTTTCTTATTTTTTTCACAGCACTTATCAGATACGAGAAGTGGGATATCTGGAATATGAAAAAGATAATGCTATACGCATATCCTGTACTATTATTGTTATTTCCCTGATGACCAGGCTGATACTGAGTTGCCCGAAATATATTCTTGTGCCATTTGCTGAGACATGTAGTCATGTACACTGTTCAACACCCAACACTTGATGGTGTGGTCCAGTTTTGCTGTTGCTTTTACCAACTATATTTATACTGTAAAAATCATATAACTGTGGGTTATATGCACCTTTGAGATTATAGATTTTTTGTTACCTGAATCATTTTACAGAAGTTAACGTATTGCAGTGAATTTGAAGTCCCTAAAATATAAAATAAAAGTGTAACTATACCCTACTCAGATCTCTTCAGTAACTATGGAGAATAATACAAGATGAGAACCATCATTTCTAATTACAAATAATTCAGTGCTTTTGCTAATTTCAAAAACTACCTTATGAAAAACAAGCTTTTGCTGATGGTTTAGAAGGTCTTATATGCCTCATCACTGGAAGTGTTAAAGGCCAGGCTGGACAGGGCTTTGAGCAACCTAGCAGAAGGTCGGTCTAGTGGAAGGAAGGGGGTTGGAATTAGATGATCTTTAAGGTCCATTCCAACCCAAACTGTTCTATGATTCTATGATTAATGGAATGCAAGTTTTCAATAAGCAACGCATAATGAGAAAGCTACAGTGCACTTCCCCCATCCCAGCCCATTTTGCAGCAAAAGCACCTCTTGTCGTATCTTACAATATTTGTCTAATTTTCCCCTCTAATATGCAATTCCTCTTTTATTTGATAAGAAATAGAGCAAATGCTCAGAATTTTTTTGTTTACTTTTTCATAACTGATGTCATGGTGTTATAAGATTGCAAATTACCACGTAAAGTCACCATACTACACAGATTTTCCAACAATGCTACACTTGCTGCGTGATTTCAGATAACACTGGACAGATGATAGGATATTTGTATGAAAGTTAATGCAAGACTGATCCAACAGGAAAACTCCAGACTGCAAGACCAATCTCTTGCTTTAGAATTGTTTCAGATAACACATGAAAGTTTTGCTATATACAATATCTATCAGCTAAACAGACATTTGCAAGGCATCTCCTTTCCCCTCCTCCCCTGTCTTCTGCTGCCAATTCCATCCTGCCTTATTCTGCTGGAGGAAACAGACTTCTTCCTCAATTAATACACTGCATGAATTTTACTGTATTTCTTAAAGAAAAGGATACATTCCTTCATCATAAAGTTATTTTGCTCATGGTGTTGCCACTTCCTCTCCAAATTTATAAGCTGAAAACATAAAAAGAACAAAAAATGAAAACTATTATTATTACATACGTACTTTATACAAAGAATCTCCGAAAAAAACTAGGTTATATGAACACCCTGTACCCTATCACCTGATAAGATCAAAGCTATTTCACAAAAAAAAACCCAAAACACAGAAATGAGAAACAACAGCAAAATTGTTTTAAAACTGCCAATGATTAACCTATATCTAATTTAGCACTTCATACTTCTATTTATATAAAAGCACTGCATTTACCTGCAGTTGTAGGTGGAAGAAAAGTCACCTGAGAATTCAAGACTTGTCGTATAAGGAAATGTGTAAGCAAGTGAGAAGTAAAAAGGTAAACACTGCAGAGAGATACTAATTCTCATTATAGTTCATATCATTTAAATGATCTCTTTTTAAAATCAGTAAGATCTAAAATCACCAAAGATACAATATTTCCTGACACTGTCTTGGACTTTCAGCTATACAGAAGAAACTTCCTTACTTCCATAGTTTAGTTTCCTGTCTGATGCCAGAAGCTGTGATAAGAACAGAGCTGCAGCAAGAAGATTGTAGGAGTGTGGGTTAAGTGCTGGCACTTCTTCAATACTTTCAGCATCAACAGGAAACTAATGCGGACATTATATCGATGGCTGCTTCCTTACAGTACAATTTTATATTTGTTTTTCTGATACTACTGTTCAAGGTTCTGCATTTCAAGATATGCAGATGTTATTTTTAAATGCAAAACCTGAAAATCATTTTGAGACTAAATTTTCAGTGGAAACTAAGGTAATAAATTAGTAAAATATAGTAAGATTTTACTTAAAAGCTTATTTTTAAGCTAGAAGTTTATACGAAAATAATTCCTATATTATACAAAAATCTTTCAGTGAAGAATAAGTTACCTAGTGTATTTGTTCACTGAAACATGCCAGTCATTTATTTCCAAGATATGGTATTTCTGATCAAATATAATATTTATTGCTGTCTTTGTAGACACTGCTACATGCAGTACAGCCAGTATAGTAGCCTGTCTGATATATATAAAAGGAAATATTCAGTGCATTTTTGTAGTAACTCCTTGAAGGCCACAGCTCATACAGTCGACTGCTTACAAAATTGCCCAAACCCTCAAGAGATGCAAATGCTATTTGTACTTCAAAATGCTTGACGAATGTCAACTAGTCAGCCATTTTATATTTATGCACCCTCATGACTTTTGCTCTCATGACATAAAAAGCAAAGAAACAAATCCTTTTTGCACCCATTGAAATAGAACTGCCACAGCTTAATGAACTAAAGAAATGCTGTACATTATAATGCTATTTTATACAAAATTTTTGCATCATTATGCATATCTTAACACTGGCTGGGTATCCAGGTCTGATTTGCATAACCTCTAGGAATAAGAATCTGATTTTGGCATAAAACATAAACAATAACTGAAGTCTTGCGGACTTTGGCATGTAGCTTTGGGGATTTATCACTTTAGAGTTAGCCCACAATAATCATATGCTATGAATCCATATATATACCTCCTCATTTAGAGCTATGCCCTCTCATCTGCTCCATAAAACTCACTCCAGAAGAAAGTTAAATTAAACATGTACAAATATCTCTTTCAACTTTTAACTGAATCAGAAAAAAATAACAGCTCTAAAGACAAAGACTTCAACATCCTGAAACAATTAAAATCTGTGAAATGAAGAGAAAATAATCAATTTCCATTTTTTCAGTTTATTTTGATGTTGTCCATTTTCTTTCTGTGCATTCAAACCTATATGCCATTAAAGCTTTGTTGCCAAAATGACAGTGATTTTGGGGTGTTTATAATGGAAGAAAAAAAGCTGCTTAAGATTTTACAAACATCATCTTTCCTGATTCACTTTGGAAATGTAAAAGTAAATACACTCATATACCAAAGTTCCTTGGGTTTAAGAAGTCTCATCAAACCCTAAAAATTCAGTGTTCTGCAAGGAGCAGAAGGATTGGGAAAACTGAAATGGAATTAATGTTACAAGTTGCAAGAAAAAGCTTACTGACACAATAACTTTAAAAGCAAAAGGGATCTTATCTGACTACCAGTGACTCTTTTTTCTTGTAATTTCTTAAGCTGGTCCTCAAAACTCCTCAAGCAGAGGAAAGGCAAAAGGGGAAGAGTTCTGAGCAAGATTAATACAAACAGTTCAAGATTCACCCAATTTTTAAGCTCAGAGAGACCTCTGCTAGTGACTTTGAAATCCAAAGCTTATGAGCAATTTATTGGCAAGATATTAACTTTTGTTTGAAAACAGAAAACAGGGCTACACATTTACAGCACATAATTTTGAACTCCCTGAGAAGGGATAAATGGATTCTGTCAATACAATGCTTCATGTGCATGAGAAAACTGAAACTACAATGGAAACAACTGAAGAGATAGTATGTAGCTTGATCTATACCTGAGAATGTGTCTCATTCTCTTGCAGCTCTCTCTTTACTGTCTCATACTCTGTATTCAAGTGTTCCATTATTTTCTTGAAAGCATGGGTTCGTTTTGTTAATTTTTCTTTGTCATCCTGGAGTCTCTAGTTGGGAAAAAAAGAAAACATAAACCAGTTAACGGATGAGTTAATTTGCTTTGGGTTAAAGACAAATGAGTCTAGTTTAGCTTTCAAGATGCTACTTTTTCTTCCTTTCAGAACACAATCATAAGCTTAAAGAGCACATAATGCTTTTCTCTAGCATGCAGGTTCTATCCTAAAAACATTATTCAATGGCTGTAACCAAGTTGGAGGCTTGTAGCACTAGCAGGAAAGCTAATGTTAAGAATTTGTAGGAAATTTATCACCTGCAAAGCAGGAAGTGCTTTAGATGGAGTCTGTCTTAGAGAAAATACATGCAGAATAATTTTTCTTTAGTGTTTTGATTCCATGATTGCTAAATTCAAACTTATGGGTGGACATAAGTTACAGCAGAAAAGTTTAGATGAATCACTAAATGAGAAATTTTGTAGAAAGAAATTATCAAAAGGTATCCAGTTGATAGCCTGCTACAAATACCTAGTCATATGTATAAGCAGAAAAGCATCTGGATTCATTTGCCCTGGAGTGCAAGCCCCATTTTCAGGCATCAGTCAGGATCCCCAATCATAGACCTGGATTCCCCTCCACTAGGTGCTCAAAAGCACAAAAAGTCTGCATATGAAAGGATTCATTCTTTTCATTACCTGTTTCTTCTCTTCTCCTGATGCTTTCAGAGCTGGCAAATTATTATAGACCTTCAAATCCATTTTTGTTTGTTCTATTTTGTCTTGAAGAGAAGCTAGTTCATCAACCATCTTGCCCTCCAAGAGTTCCATCTTCTGTAGGTCCATCTGCAGTTTCTGGCTTTCTAGATCACAAGTACACAATCAATTAACACAGCATTTTATTTCATGATACACTGTCTACTATATAAAGATTTATTCTATATCTAAGCAACACAAACAGCTCCTTCTTATCTTTCTGATTTTGATATGCATGGGAGTGTTAATGTGAAAGGAAAAAAAATGATCTTCAAAATCATCCCGTAAGCCAGACTCCTATATTACAATTAGTGTATTATACTCAGTAAGTGAAGAGTATTGAAAAAGTGATTTTCTGCATGCAGTGTCGTATTTCTAATGTTGTTTACAGCAACAAGGCTGTGAACGGTGGCGATGCTTAAGCAGTGGTGATACCTTACAAAAAGTTGACTGCAATAATGCAGACAAACTTATTTATTTATTTGTTATTTACGTTGGTTTTATTCATTTTGCTTGTTTATCATAAGAGAGTTCTATGACAGTAAATAGCCAAATTTGCTTTAAGAATTCACTCTGTACAGGAAAATATCCACAGAATAAGTACTGTCATAGCTTATAAAATGAGCATGTGCTACAATATACAGTGTTTACTTCTGACAATCCATTAAAAACAAACAAAAGAGATATAGATAATTAAAGGAGTTAGAAATATGGATGCTTATATGAAAAGAAATGGAAATACTGAAACTGTTCAGTCATGAGATGCTCAAGAAAGGGCACAACAAAGATACACAAAATAAAAAAAAATACACTTTGATCCAGTTCAAGTTTTACCCAGTTTTGGGGTAAGTTATCCACCCCAAGTGTGGAAAAACTAGATGTGGCTAGACGGGTTTTCTGACCTGTAGCCTTGTCATTGTTTTTTCTTCATTTTCCTGAACACTTAAACATATGGGTACACAACCTTACGCTTCAGAGCAGTGTCTAACTCAGAAGAATGACACAAATAATGCAGGGTTTTTCCTGTATTCTAAAATTTTAGGCAAAGTGGGCTACTGGGAGGAACGGACACCATAAAGGAACTTCTATCAAAATAGACTGCATATTTTGCTCACAGACTTAGGTTTATGCTGATCTCCTGGAAAAAGGGTAGGATTTCTTTCCTCCAACTTTACCAAGGCAGTATAGATCTTTACGGCAGTAGGGAATGGACATGCATATGTAATAGAGGGCGAGTTCATTTTTCCAAAAACTGTGGGTATGGTTTCCTTAGTGAGATTATCTTGGAAAATCTCATGTGATCAAAACTCTGTCATAGCAAGCTTTTGATACTCATTTCTTCTCTTATGTATTTATGCCATATACTATTTTTTTAGAGTGAAATATTTGTTTTAATTAGCATTTCTGGCTTATTACAGAGTGCTTTGATGATTTCTTGAGGAACTTCAAAATAACAAGACAAGTCAAGACTTTTGTGTAGAGTATGAATCCACCTTAAAGCACTTAAGAAAACACCTTCCCCGTGTCTAAAGTATTTTGTAGCTGCCTATAGCTTCACTTTGAAGCTCCTGCTATTGTCAGTGTCAGATCCTAAACCACAACTGTACAGACCACAGCTCTGCTTCTTTTGTTCCTTATTTTGTTTCTGCCACTGTGGTTTAAAGACAGAGAAATGCTTAAGGACCTTAATAACTCAAGAATTTAACATTAAAACCAGTTAAAAAAAAAATTATAAAATAATAATAATTCAAATTGGAGAGAAATAGCAGAAAACAATTTCTGATTTTCTTATGCATTTATTTAGGCATAATCACAGTATTTTCACTCTCCATATAGCTGTTCTGATATATTTACTTTTTATTTTAAAATTATACATAGTTGACTAATTGGGATTTTTTTTTACATGTGAAGAGTCATAACAATATAAATGGCAAAATGCCAGAAAGGATTCTTATGACTGTTTTATCTATATACTGGTAAAAACTATGTTGAGACAGCAATGGGCCATTCCTATCCATTCATGTTTTCTGGTGAAAAGGGAAGAAACTGGAAGGAGTGAATTTTATCCTTATCCAGCAACAACCTAAATGAAAAAAAACCCTCAAAACTAAAAAAATTCGAAACTTCTCTACGGGAAGAGACAGGAAGAGGATGCAGCCCAGTTCCTTCTGATACACCATGAAGCTGCAGTGTCTAGCAAGCAGTGTGTACACAGTAGCAAACTCCCAGACCAAACTACAGTGACCCAGGGAAATGCTTTTGGGAAACTATGCTATCAGCACTTTTGTTTACTCTTCATGGTTTCCTTTTCTTTTTTCCTTTTTTTTTTTTTTCTTTTCTTAAGGGTTCTGCTGGTAGACATTTTTACAGCAATGTAATTTGTTTAAACACAACAAAAGAATCCTGAAGATGACTATGCTATAATTCAAGGATTAGGAAGAATCTAAACTGTGCAAATTGAATATTCATTGTATATTTTCAAGAATCTTATATTGCTTAATATAGTATTTTCAACTCCTTGCTTTCAGGAATTTACTTAAGAGTCATATAAATGTCCTACTGAAAATTATGTATTGTAACTTCCTTTCAACATGTCTCTATAGTGATATGTGCTTCCAGAATATCCTTATATTGTAAAATAATAAGAAACAATGCTTAAATGAAAGAATAAAAAGTCAGATTTGAACTTGCAATGTATGGCCCAGCTTTTAAGCCATGCTAGAATGGCAAAAGGAGTACTTGCAAACAAGCAAATACTACATGTTAAAACACACAACAGAAAAATCTATTTCTGTAACACTGTGTGTATAACAACTTAATTGCACGTAACTACTTGAAGTTACAACACAGGCTCCTACTTTGAAAATTTCTACCAAGTAGAGCATGTAATAGCCTTCTATCAAAATGATTTATGGTTCTTAATTCCTGCCCCTTCTTTTTAGCCAAACAAGGAAAGGCTTGCTGAACCAATAATGATATTGGCGAAGACTTAGAATTATAAGAACAATTTCACTGTAAACAATGAAAAAAAGAACTAAATAGAACTTGCCATGGAAATGAAAGAACAATACTGTAAGTTTTTTTAAATTACAGGCAAGATTCCACAGATTCTTACACTTACCTACTTCAGTAGTTCCAAAATGAAGTAAAAATTAATATCCACTCTGCAAAATCAAAGCCTGATAGTTTGAGAGCTATTCACTATTGTTGGAAATTATTCTTTCATGGTACATTCCCTTTTAGAAAAGCACAAAACCATAACTAAGTGATTCTGAGAACTGCATTTACAAATAATACATGGTTAGATAACTGAAGGAAGTCTCTACTTCAATTTATTAAACACTATTTTAAGACAATGAAAACTGCTTATATTCAAGGTGAATATTAATAAAGTCAAACTTCTAGATCAAAGAACTTTGTACCCCTTTATTAAAATACATATATTTAATGTATATCTGTGCAAAGAAGCATCATAATAGCAAGCTAAATACTCCTAAGGAATATAAAGAACTTGTAACCCACAAGAGTTTGAATTTATTAACTTGCCACTGTATTTTGGTATTTGGAGATCACTGATCTTGTACTTATGACTAATATAACAATTCAGGTAATTTTAATTTTTTTAAGGAATTAATTTGAAAATTAATTGGTGATCTTACCTGTAATCAGATTCTTAGCAGTGCTCTGTGATTTCTGCATTTCATTTGATTTAAAAGTGAGGTCTTCCTGCATAATCTTCAGTTCTTGATTGGTAACAGATGAAATTTGTTTCATACGATTCACATTCTGTGTGTTACCAATAAAAATAATGAGAATATGATGCATCTTTGAAACAACAAATGGTAACTGGACTAGTAAAAAACTCTCCTGTCTCTGTACATTGTCTGTTATGGGGCTTTTCTTCTGCAAAGACTGAAAATACTGGAAATACTCTGAAGGGACTTAAATGTGACCAATTTTCATTCTGCCAACTTTTGATAAAAGATGTACTGACAGGCCAGTGAAGATGAAACAGAAATTCAGCAAGTATATGCCATAAAAATGCAACAAAGGTATACTGTGTTGCCATTATTAATCCCTACTAAACTGTCATTGCCTAAAATATACCTATGGAATACCATACTGAAAAAGTTTTAGAAGACAAAAAAGTGGAGATATAATCAAACTATTACTCAGATGAAAGATTTCTGTAAGATCAAAAAAAAAATCTATGGGAATTAAAAATGTTGCAAGAACAAACATTTTGAAAGTGCAAAAAAAAAATAGCAGACGGCAAATGGGAACAATTTCTAAAGTGTTTACATTAAATATTACACAGCAGGGTATTGGAACACTGTCAATTACTTAACAGTAGTGACAGAATACCCATGAACTGATATTTGCAGACCTTACATAAACAAAATATTGCAGTAGTTTTATTTGCAATATTCTGAAATGTTTATAATGAATGGAATAAAGTTGATTATAGCAGTGATGATGAGTTACAGCAATTATGCACATCTTTCTTTTACTCTGGTGGCAAGTGTTATCTAATATACAAAAGTCTCTTCCCAGAAATAAAGTTAAATTAATCAAATATGCCTTGGTTTTGTTTTTTGTGGACTTGCTTTGTTTTTTTAACTACAGCTGTACATGATTTAGTGTTTAATTCTCTTACAAGATTGCAATGCAGATATTGGATGGATAATACATAAAAACTATCACCCTTCTTAAACCAAACATGCTCCTGTTCTGTCCTTTTAAATTCCTAGCTTACCACAGGAAGAGAAAAATAGGCTTACCCTGCTTGAGTGCTCCAGGAGTGCAACAATGTTGGCTTCTATTTGGGCTTTTCGTTCCAATTCCTGATTCTTCACCTCTTCAAAAGTCTCAAAAAAATCTAGAGATCAACAAACACTATAAAGAAACCTGCTGCTGTGTGGGTATAGCATAAGTCCTTGTAGTTTCCAGCCAAAACTTTCTAAGCTCTACAGTTTCAGACAGGTTACTTTAAGATAAATTATTTAGTTAAGACACAGGTGATAGAGTCCTTGAAATATGTCAACTTACGGGTTAGAATGAAAAAGAGGACAATTTTTGCAGAGACGCATGTTTGACAGATTAATGATATGACGTAATCACCTTCTTGGATACTGTTTAGGTGAGGGTTGCTACCCAATGCATAAGGAGTTTCATTACGATAATTTCTGACAGCTTTTTAAATGCTTGTCCCAGCAGCTGTTGATCTTAATTCTTCTGAGGGCTACCAAAATGGGCTACTATATAAAGGGAACAGGTACTTCACTAGGGACTTGATTATCTCTAATGGGGTGGACTAAATGCCAGACATTGCTAAGGGCCTGAGACCAATATTTACCTGGTATCTTTTTCTTTACGTATGATGTCCCTTTGCTACCTCGCTAATTTATGTTCATTCTAGTAAGTGTCCAACTGAATCTGGTAAGACACTTGTAATGGTGGTATACCCTCTGTATGTGTGTCCTGGGCATACTACAATGTACTTCTGATGACAGACATATTGAAAAAAGGGTGCTGGCCACATCACATGAAAGTTATAGGTCTAACAAGACGCCATCCAGGGCTACAAGTTATGATCGTCCCTCTTTCGGGTCTCCTTCTAAAACATGGCTTACATACACAGAAGCCCTCAGTAAATATAAGAGTTTGCAAACTTTCTAGCTAGATGAAAAAGAGAAGTGCTTGTTTGAGCAAGAAGGATTAGATAATAGCAAATTCAAGAATGAGGAAAGATTATAAGAGGATCTACTTAATGGAAATACTGACAAATCCTGAAGGGATGAAGACTGACTAGAGAATTCTGGATTTCAGAGCATCCACGGGTTTTAATAAACATCTGATTTTAAAATTCTTTACTAATAAAACATTCCTGGATAAGAAAACTACTGTAATATCTGACATCATCTGCAACACTGCCCATGAAAGAGTTAAGAGAGATGCTTCACAGAGTACAGCTTCTAAAACTTGTAAAGTGGAAAATCTGCACTATTGGAGCCAGTGGACAATACTAAGACACTACAAAGACTATCTCTGAGGCAGAGATTTCAGGATCAAAGATACTAGGAATTCTTAGAAGTTTAATTATGTGCATTAGAAAACACATCTGTAATGTGCACAGCTGATTACTAAAAATGACCAGTTCTGATGCAGATTCAGTTGGCTCGGAAAGTTGAAATAAAGTTTTGGTCCAGCTGATGCTGACTAGTAGCTGTAGAGAACAGTACTTGTCAAAAATGTAAAAAGGTATACCTTTTCCCAACACTGCTGTGAACTAGTAACCAGGAACAGAGTTAAAACCAAAGTGTAAAAGCTTGCAATTGAAAGAGGCTAGTCACTTCCCAAGTGCTGAATAAGACCATTGTCAAGCCTGTTTCTCCAGTACCCAGGCTACAAATGAAGCTATTTTCTGTGATGTTCTTTTCTTTCAGAATGAATTTGTCTTGTTCGATCTTAAAGATAGGACAACTATACTTTAATAAGAGGGACAACAGCGTCAGCTCCAAAAAGAGCTCCTTTCTCAAAGGGCACTTACTGAGTATTTCATACCATCTGTTGTGAAATACAGACAGGAATATCTCAGCACAACAGAACTAAGGGAAAGGTAGTAAAGAAGCAATAGTACTGAAATTTTTGTTTAATGTTTTGTGTTTAAAACATTTGAGCTCTTCTTTTTTTTTGTTTAAATAATTATGTAGGCAGTTTTTACAAAGGGAATCATTCAAACAACCTACCTCAAAACTTTCAGTAACATTTAACTATTTAGTGCTCTAGTGGTGAGAAAGGCTTCATTAATATCTGCCTTTTCTGGGGGACTGAGCCACTTCTTTTTACATAACAGATGATGCCATGGACTTTGATGCATCTTAGCAAACAGGTCTTAAATAAGTTGGCTGCAATATCTTGATAAGCCTATTTATTTACTTCAAAGGAAGCTGCAGACAATGAGGATATTGAATCTTCCAAAACACATAGGTAAGTAAGGCAGAGGAGTGAAATAAAAGTGCCTTCATGAAAGAAAAGCATTCTCACATATTCGTGAGAACAAAACTAAATTACTTTACATCCACAAATATATAATTCTGTAAAACTGAGCCTGAGTGGAATTAAGACCTAAGAATCATACCTGTATGTCTTGACTAGTGTTTTTAACCTTTGGCATTTTGGACCTTTTTAACTGTTTGTTTTATTGTTTGGTTTTTGGGGTTGTTTTTTTTTCAAACCTCCTTTGAATTTATTTAGAAACATCAAGCAAGGTCCATACTTACATCTCATCTCATCGTTTTTCTGCAAGCAACTCTCCATTTTATCACACTCATCTCATCGTTTTTCTGCAAGCAACTCTCCATTTTATCACAGCTGTCTGATTGACCTTGTTTGTCTTGTGGAAGAAAGCTTTAGTAGCATTTATTTTGAATAAACAGATATGAGAAGCCTTAATTTTAAAGAATTATATGATGTCTATGCTTTTCCATTTTTAACTTCTGCTTTTAATCAGACCTGAACAGCTGGCTGCATATGTCTTTTATTTAAATTAATTTAAAAATTCATTTCAGTCTTGTTTTCATACAATAAAGCTGTATTCCTAAGACTTTTAATGTTTGATGAAAAGCCTTGAATGATGCTCCAAATGTTTGTAACTGTCCTATAAGTCCTAAGATAGCAATTATCTTGTCTTGAGGCAGATCACAGAAATTTTATGCAAAGATCAGGGCACTGGTTCTTTCCAGCTCTAAATTAATACAAGGAAATCTGTATTTTGCTGGAATTAGGCCTAATTGAAGTATATTAGACAACTTACTGTCCATGCTTTCTTCCCTCTTCTTCAGCTCTTTGTATCTCCAATTTTCTTCTCCTGAAAGGGATGTAACATGGATTTAACTTTATTTGTCTCAGTCCTGGATTCCTTTAGGAAGGCAAAATGTCAGTTTTAAAAATTCAGATTCTACATGCCTAGAAACTACAGGACTCACCCCATGTCATTTAATGTAATCACTTCAAATGACTATGCCATACATATTTTTATATTCAGAAAAATAGATTAATAAATCATTCTCAATGCAGTTTTTAGAACCTTTTAGAGGCTAGCATTTTTTTATAAAAAAAAGTGGGATAAATACTTGCTTTGAACAAAGGAACAAGATTTTTCTGATGTCAGGTGAATTTCAAGAAAAGATACATGTTTTTGTATATATGGGCACCAAAATACTGACTACAAATAACTCTTAATTAAACTGCATTATTAAAGTGCGAGATCTGATATGTTACAAATTTCAAGAAGATTACACAATTCAGCCTCCAGGAATAATTTAAATTTCAAAGAGCTAGATTTTTAATTGTTTGAGTTTTTGTCATTGATAAATTGTCAGCATAATCTTGTAACTTTAAAGAATATAAGGAAAAATAATGAAGTGGACACAGATATAACTGAGCAAGCAAATCTCTCTAGGTCTTTTTACTGGCATACCCCATGCTTTCCTTTCTATCTCATATATACAAACAATAAGAACACCCATGGGTCCCTAGGGGACTGTGATTCTGCTTTGACTTCCTTGCAGCTGTGGCTTTATTCGTTGCTGGACTCTCTCTTTCATTTTCCAAGGCAAGTCCCCAACACTAAATAACTCAGTCTGTTCTACTCTTAAAAAGTCTAGTTATTGTGAACCATGAAACAGAGAGCTACATGATCTGCCAAGTATTTAAAGAAAAAAAAAAACCCCACAACCTTTAAAATTTACAGATAAGTTTTTGTTAAAATACAACATTATTACATTAATGTCTTAGCCTCTCTTGCAATTTCTGAAGTGTTAAGTCTATTCCATTATGAATTAATGTTGATTTTGACTGATCAGTTACCGGATCACAGAATCACACGATAGTTTGGCACCCTCAAACATTATCTAGTCCAACCCCCCTGCAATGAGCAGGGACATCTTCAACTAGATCAGGTTGCCCAGAACCACATCCAGGCTGGCCTTGAATGTCTTCAGGGATGGCACATCCACCACCTCTCTGAGCAACCCGTGCCAGTATTTTACCACCCTCATTGTAAAGAATTTCTTCCTGACATCCAGCCTGAATCTCCCCTCTTTTAGTTTAAAACCATCACCCCTCATCCTGTTGCAAGGGACTCTACTAAAGTCTCTTCCCCATCTTTTTATAGGCCCCTTTTAAATACCAAAAGGCCACTAATATGGTTTCCCGGGAGTTTTCTTTAGGCTGAACAACCTCAACTCTATCAGCCTTTCCTCATGGGAGAGGTGGTCTGGCCCTCTGATAATTTTTGTTAATGGTAGCTGCTAATATATAGAACATATAAATGAGTGATTTTTTTCCTTATTTAGATTTTCTTAAGTGAAAACTAAAAATAGTTATTTCTATTAATGGTCTTTTTATTTCGGTTTTCCTGCTTAAAAATGTTCCTAGCACTGAAATGTTTACCCTGAAACATTCAAAAAATCCTTAGTTGTAATTATTTTATGGCTATTTTACCTTAAATTTAACTGAAAAACTTAAAGAGCTCAAGCTTTGGGAATGCTTTGTAATAAACAGTTTAAATACTGAGCCAGTATTTAAGTTGGCTGAAGTAAGTTGATTGGGGATGGTGGGAGGGAGGGAGGACAGGAATCTCAAAGACACACCAAAGTGCTGATTTAGAGCAGAAGTATGAATGGCTCTCTGGGATTCTTTCTCTACTCACTAGAGAAAAGGACACTGGGAGTCAGGATTTCTGTGTCTTAAAGCAATTCCTTATGAATAACTTCTTTATCTCCTCTATGTTATATCAATAGGTACAATTCCCTCTCTTATACCACAAGTTAACTATATTTTTGAATATCCTGTCTGTTCCTGATTGTTGAAAGCAAGCATGGGCTTTCTCCTACATATGCTTTTAACACTTCTTTAACAGAAGTCTTTTCCTAAAATAAAGACATGCAGTCCAGCAATGAATGATAGTGTCTGTAAAAGTTATTATAAAATGCAAAAAAGCAACTCACTTCTTACCTTCTGCATTTCTCCAAACATACAAAAAAAAGAGTTGCAAGCCAAACAAAAAGGAAGAATTAAAGCAGAATAGTAAAGTTGGCAACGACATTATCTGGAAATAGCTAGTAAGACAGTCTTAATGAATTATTTGCACAGAAATAATGAAATATCTGGAGAAACATGAGATATTTTGTGACGCAAAAGATGAGAAACAGATGTATCTAACATTTGTATAGGATCAATTTTAGAAATATTTCTTCACCTTCAAAAAAATTACAGCTAAGTTTTATCCTGATTACCTGAGAAAAAGTATAAAGTAAAAAAGACACAAACACATTAAGTCAACTGTCCTACAGAATTTAAATAACTTGTTAAAAAATTTTCCAGAATGTATGTATATATTTATGCAACTCCTATCTAATCAAGATTCCTTATAAGAAGGTTTTCCATGGGATCAATTACCATTTTAAGGAGAATCTTCCACAGCTATTGAGGGCCTGCACTCAACTGTGGTTACATCAGAACCATATGTGCAATGCTAGGACAAATCCCATCCTAAACTAGCCCAATGTACTATAGCAGGTGTCTGCTGGAGGCTAAGTTTCTAAGGAAATACTATTTCTAAGCTCTGTACTATTTCTACAAACTCTTGTAAAAATCAACACAAGGACTTTGAAAGACAGATAAAAACAGTACCAAATTCTGTCTACTTTATACATTATTATTAAACATCCTCAATTCCACATTTGCTGACAGTACATCAGATCATATAAAAGGTTAAATAAAAGCTGTTCTAAAGCTGAGCTGGTTCTGCAATGCTGCCATCAAGAGAAACTCCTATTCCTCAAGTAGTCCTAAAAATAAAACCGGGACAGAAAACCAGACAGCTGTACTATTATTTTATATGGTATTTTTACTACTTAATATAAACTTGATGAACCACCCACTAAAGGTGGGTACTCCCCATTTCTCATAACTGAAACAAGTGTGCACCCCTGAACAGAAAACCTTCTTCTAATGGTCAATAATAGACATTTGGTTAAGCCTAAAAGTTGCAAGCAGCTAATGTCCATAACAATATGTGTTATAATACAGATGCAGCTCTGCATAGGCTGCTAAAACTCTAGCCATATTACCTTCATAATTCTCCAGGTCTGTATCAAGTCGTTGAATGACCTTTTTAAAGTGGTTTGTTTTTTCTTTTACTTCTGCCAGCCTGAAAATGGATAACGAAATCCATGGTTAAAAATGTGCTGTAAAATACTTGCTTTTTTACACAAAAGTGGAGAGAAAAATCAAGAATAAAAATAGCAAACCTAAGTTTATGAAAACAAAAAATATATCAGGATTTCTGTTATTATAAAAGATTTACATAAACCACCTGTCACATAAGTCCCCATATCTATTAAATGGAAGCACTGCTACTGTTTATTGTAATTTTTCTTTTTTGAGTCCTCAGGAGCTTTAACTTACTCAACTGGTCCCTCTGTTGTCTGCTATACCACTTTGCAGAGGTACAACGTAATTCATAAAATGCAGCCAGGAGCTGTATTCCTGAAAATTACTCATGTGTTCACTAAAATCCATTCAGATATTGCCAAGTAAACCAAAATATTACATAATCACCCTAAAAAAGCTTTGTAAATTCTCAAATATAATTCTCTGACAGTGTTTCTTAAAAAAAAAACCTCTTAACTTGCATTATTATCCACTCAAAGGTGTTAATGTATTAAAAATTAATGAATGATTACAGTTGGGAGTACTGCTTTAAAGAATTTAAAATTGTTTCTAGGAGATTTCAGGAATTATTTCATTGTTTCTGTAAAGGGCAAGAGATCACATGAGCAAGATTCACAAAAACATTGTACTGTTTTCACTCCTACCTGGCAATACGTTACTATTTATTGTAACATCTTCCAGAGTTCCTAGCAAATCTTCAGAAAGGTTGAATACCCAAGAATCAAGAAGCAATTCCCCGTTACTCTTAGGAATGGAATTTTCTGTAAGCAACTTTGTAACTTATAGGTTTTAAGAACACATAACAAATAAACTCTTCAAAATGTTACTACAGCATAATGTAAGCTCAACTTCATAGATGTCCCAGATGAGTAGCTGTCATGGATGAATGTCTTCTCCAGCATTAAATAAGTTTATGACAATGCTATTACCCATTTATTACCAATTGCTGAAGTGAGTAGCTCCACAGAGGATGCCTCCAACACCTGAGAGGGGGGTAGCTCAGCGTCCAGGAGCCTTAATTCAAAGCGGCGAGAGCCTCCCACTGAGGGAGCCTCAAGTCCTCAACAGGACTTGCCCAGAAGCCGGCAGCTCAGCTGACGCGAGCGAGCAGCTGACTCACACGGGGCGGAGCCTAAAGCAGCAGCACCAGCCCTGGGCGGGTAAAAACCTGCCCCAGGGAGCGCGAGTGACCGGGTCAGGTTGAGGCAGTTTGTGCAGCATTCCAGCGGGATGGTCAGCACTTGCCGTATGATCAGGGCCCGGTCTGGAAGCTCTGCTCTGGCTGCCAGGGCGGTGGCCAGCGTAGGCACCCAGAGCTGATGAGAGGGGAGGCTGCAGTGCAGAGCTCGGGGTGTAGAGCGTGCCTGCACTGGTCTGGTGAGGGGAGGGTGCACAATGGGCAGGGCTGCACTCGGTGCTCCCTGGTGGAGGTCCTCCTGCAGCAGGGGCTGAGCTGCGGGATGCTGTTAATAGGCTGCGAGATGTCAGGGAAGCTGAGAGGAAGCAGGAATGCTTTCCCCAGGCCCAGACTGTGCAGGGGCCTCAAGCGTCCACTGTAGCTCATGAAGGAAAGAAGGAGGCCGTTAACCCGGGGAGCTGGGAAACAGTAACAAAAAAAAAAAAAAAAAAAATCCAAAAACCAACAAAAAAAGGAGGAAAACTACATTTAAAAGCAAGGGGCTTCCTCCTAAATCTGTTGTCCCCACCCAGAACTGCTTTGCTGTCCTGCAGGGGGCTAATGAGGAAACAAACTCACACCAGAAACAACCGGCTGATGAACGGGTAAGATCACTACTGGTGCTGCCAGGAAAAAGAGGCGGGTCATAGTAGTAGGGAACTCTACTTTGAAAGGCACAGAGGCACCCATCCGTCAGCCTGACCCGGTCTCAAGGGAGGTGTGCTGCCTACTAGGGGCACGGACTGGGGATGTTGCAGAGAGGCTGCCTGCTCTAGTAAGTCCCACTGACTATTACCCACTTCTAGTGATACATGTGGGTGCTAGGGATATAGACAGCAGTAGCCTAGAGAACATAAAGAAGGACTACGGCACCCGGGGAGAGGTGTCTGGGGCTCTGGAGCTCAGATTGTCTTTTTGTCAATTCTCCAGGATACAGGGGAGGACCTAAAAAAAGCTAGGAGGATTGGCCAGGTTAATAAATGGTTAAAAGGGTTGTGCCATAGTCAGGGGTCTGGTTATCTTGAACATGGGATTCAATTTAGGAGGCCAGGTCTACTGGGGGCTGGTGGAGCTGCTCGTGCGCAGTTTTGGTAGGAGGCTTGCCAGGCTGGTCACAGAAGCTTTAAACTAGATGTGCTGGGGGAGGGGGGCATCATTCCATCCCAGCACTCCCAGTCAGTTGCCAGCACCTATAATAAATGCTTGGAGCAATGTAGAGATATTCCAGCTGCTCCAGCCAATGACCCAGCCTCATCTGGAGCTTAGCTCAGGTGCCTCTATACAAATGCCTGTAGCATGGAGAACAAACAAGAGGAATTAAGAGATGTGTGTGCATCTTTGGGGATATGATATAATAGGCATCACAGAAACATGGTGGGATGGCTCCTATGACTGGAGTGTTGGAATGGAAGGTTACAGGCTCCTTAGAAAAGACAAGCCTAGCAGGCGGGGAGAGGGAGTTGCTATTTATGTTAGGGATAGACTGAAGACTATGTAACTCTGTCTGGGGACAGATGAGCAGTTAATAGAGAGTTTGCGGGTCAGGATTAAAGGGAGCACAGAGATGAGAGACATTATTGTGGGGATCTGTTACAGACCACCTGATCAAGAGGAATCTGTGGATGAAGCACTCTATAGACAGATAGGAAAAGCCTCACGCTCACAGGCCCTTGCTCTCATGAGGGACTTCAACCACCCTGGTATCTGTTGGAGGGATGGTACAGCCTGGCACAAGCAATCCAGGAGGTTCCCCGACTGTGTGGAAGACAACTTCCTTCTGCAAGTAATAGAAGAGCCGACAAGGAGAGGTGCCATGCTTGACCTTGTGCACACCAACAGGGAAGGGCTGGTTGGAAGTGTGACGCTCCAGGGCAGCCTTGGATGCAGTGATCGTGAGATGGCTGAATTTGAGATCCTCAGGACAGTGAGAAAAGCGTGCAGCAAGCTCACTGCCCTGGACATCAAAAGAGCAGACTTTGGCCTCTTCAGGAAGCTGCTTAGTAAGGTTCCATGGGATATAGCCCTAGAGGGCAGGGGGGGCCAAGACTCTTGGTTGATATTCAAGGATCACCTACTACAAGTTCAGGAGTGTTGCATCCCAACTAGAAGGAAGTGCAGCAGGAGGGCCAGGAGACCTCCTTGGATGGATAAGGAGACGCTGAAGAAAATTTGAAGGAAAAAAAGAGGCTTCTAAAAGGTGGAGGCAAGGACAGGTGGCCTGGGAAGAATACAGGGATGTTGTTCGGGAAGCTAGGGACCAGGTTAGGAAAGCTAAGGCCCAGTTAGAATTAAACTTGGCTAGGGATGTGAAAGATAACAGGAAGGGATTCTATAGGTACATTGCAAATAAAAGACAGACTAAGGACAACGTGGGCCCTCTCTGGAAGCTATCAGGAGAACTGGCTACCCTGGATTTGGAGAAGGCTGAGGTTCTGAATGACTTTTTTGCCTTGACCTTCACTAGCAAATGCTCTGACCATACCACTCAAGTCTTGGAAGGTAGATGCAGGGACTGTGACAATGAAGACCTTGGGCCCACACAACATCCTTGTCTCTAAATTGGAAAGACATCAGTTTGATAGGTGGACCACTCAGTGGATAAAGAACTGACTGGATGGCTGCATGCAGAGTTGTGGTCAATGGCTCAGTGTCCAGCTGGAGACCAGTAACAAGTGGTGTCCCTCAGGGATCGGTGTTGGGATTGGTGTTGTTCAACATCTTTGTCGCTGACATGGACAGTGGGATTGAGTGTGCCCTCAGCAAGTTTGCTGATGACACCAAGCTGTGTGGTTTGGTTGATCCACTGGAGGGAAGGAATGCCATCCAGAGGGACCCTGACATGCTTGTGAGGTGGGCTGATGCCAACCTTATGAAGTTTAACCATGCCAAATGCAAGGTCCTACACCTGGGTCGGAGCAATCCCAGGTACAGCTACAGGTTGGGCAGAGAAGAGATTCAGAGCAGCCCTGCGGAGAAGGACTTGGAGTGCCAGTCGATGAGAAAATGAACATGAGCTGGCAGCGTGCGCTCACAGCCCAGAAAAGCAACCATATCCTGGGCTGCATCAAAAGCAGCGTGACCAGCAGGTAGAAGGAGGTGATCCTGCCCCTTTACTCTGCTCTTGTGAGACCTCACTTGGAGTATTGTGTGCAGTTCTGGTGTCCTCAACATAAAAAGGACAAGGAACACAGTTGGAACAAGTCCAGAGGATGGCCATGAGGATGATCAGGGGACTGGAGCACCTCCCATATGAAGACAAGCTGAGAAAGTTGGGGCTGTTCAGCCTGGAGAAGAGACAGCTGCGTGGAGACCTCATTAGCAGCCTTCCAGTATCTGAAGGCGGCCTATAGGAATGCTGGGGAGGGACTCTTCATCAGGGACTGTAGTGGCAGGACAAGGGGTAACAGGTTCAAACTTAAACAGGGGAGGTTTAGATTGGAGATAAGGAAGAATTTCTTTACTGTGGGGGTGGTGAGGAACTGGAATGGGTTGCCGAGGGAGATTGTGAATGCTCCATTCCTGGGAGTGTTCAAGGCCAGGTTGGACGAGGCCTTGGGTGGCATGGTTTAGTGTGAGGTGTCCCAGCCCATAGCAGGGGGCTTGGACCTAGATTATCTTAAGGTCCTTTCTAACCCTAACTATTCTATGATTCTATGATTCTACGATTTTACAACTTATATTCTTAAGGCATGTTCATAAGGGTAGGAGGTATCTTACTATACAGAAATAGGTGTCCTACCACCACAGAAGTTGTTTAGCTGAAATAGAAGAGTATTTTCTATTCTCTGTGGAAGGTTAACATTAGCAGAGGCTGGAAAATGTGGTGATGTTCTAAAAGTCCATAGAAACATACAATGGAATTCAGCTATGTGTCTTTAGACTCTAAATGTAATTTGTAGCAACAGTATAATGGGATTACTCACTGTCTGTCCATACTCGCTATTTCTTGACTGTCATCCTTAACCTATAAAAAATTGTAACAATTTTAACATATGAAACAAAATCTACAAATGAAAAAAGGAAAACAAAAAAAGAGATTTCTTAATTCAGTACACAGGGAATAGAGACTCAATATATGAAATCACAAACATGCTGCCACACTGTCCAACAATGACTCCTCACTGAATAGAAGTGATATGATTTAAGCGTTACTTCTTCCAAACTTTCTCCTGCTTTCTAAGTACATAATGAAAAATCAGGCACACCAGTGTTATTCAGTCCAATAATCTGTACAGTATATATGGGAAGTTACACAACACAGCATAGATGCTTGGAAACTAATTAAATTGCTCCTGGATTAGTGTATCTGCTTAGTACCCCACAAGGATACTGTCTGGAATTATGTTATGGAAGTGTTCAGTAGGATCAATTTTCCCATAACAACATGACTGATGACTGTGCCAATTTTGTTCTGTCTGAACCTGAAACATCCCATCCAGCCAATTCATTGTTTTTAATTTCAGATGGTTTCTGCTGCTTAAAGAACAAATAAAGGCAAGATTCAAACCAAAGTATTTTAAAATATTATCATCCCTTAAAATACTGAGTCAGAGAATATTTTACACGATATCATTTTATATTCTTGCCTGTTTTAGTAACCTTTCTCTTTCCTCCTGTGGAGATTCCATATTCTTATCCTCAGCAATCATTTGGTCTCGACGTTCCTCGAGCTCATGGAGCTTTTCATACATCTGCACAGCCTCCTTTTTCACCTGGGAGTGTTCTATTTCCTGTTGGGAAAAGCAAACACCTACTAGCTATTTTCAGATGTCAAGACAGCATTGCAGAAATTATGCTTTAGTTAAGCAGCACTTACCTATATATTGAAACTGAAGCTTATTTATTATAAACAGTACAGAGACAGTCTAAACAATAAACTTTATTATCCATATTCTCAATATGGTATTTTTGGAATGGAATTACTCAGTCAGCTACTTCTTCTTTATGTAAGCCTATCCTCAAGCCAATTTTCTGAGTAGGTTAACTACCTCATCATTTCTATGGGATTACAAACCATATACAGTTTTCAAAAGGACTGGAAAAATGTCTAGTAGTTTCTGAAATTTATACTTTCTGAATATATATACATGACTGTATGTTTCAGCTGACAGACCCTTTTATCCATGGAAGACCCAGTACAAGAAAATTATACTCCACCTAGCAATATGGCAGTGTATTAGAAGTGTTTATGTATGCATGTGGGATAAAAAATATCTTGGCGAGTACCACTTTGTGTTTCAAGTACTAGCTGCTTTTAAAATGGAACGTGGAAGAAGAAAATCATTCTCACACAACCTGAAAGCTGAAAATACATTGAAAAACCAGGTCTCACAAATCCTTAAGAAGGATGTGAATGATAATGTCATGTTTATCTTTACAGAGCAACTCCAAATTAATCAAAAGTCACACACCTCACTATTGCCATAAAAATTTAATGCTTGGCTTCCACAGAAACAATTTTTACCCAAAACATGGAAATTTCCACCCATAATTTCTGCATTATTTTTTACACTAGAGTTTAGCAAAGACTGGTACAGAGACCACTTGTTATCATACATACAGCTCTTAGAGCCTCCTCCTTTATATTTAGTGCATCCAATTCCTGTTGCTGAACAACCAATTCCTAAAAAGAAAAAAAAAATTGCAAAATTCACATAAAAATTGCTACTTGGTAACGTTTTTGTTCTGAAACTTATTATTAATAAAATACTGTAAAACATCTTATTGCTGCTCTAAAAATTTTAAAAGACTGTGTCCAGCTTCTCCAAGTGACTCAGATACAATATCCACCTACTTTCAGCATCCAGCTTTTTCAATAAACTGTTAGTATTATTTGCAGTTAGACTATGATGAAAAACGTGTGTACCCTTTTACCACTATTTTGTGTAAAATTTAGTACTGAGGGTGGAATTTGTCATTTCTGCATTAGAAGTTTAAAACTAGATTTTAAAATCTGAACTAGCCACCTCAGTTTCTTTACAGTCCAGAAAGAGACAGGCCCTAATTGATGATTTAGCTCATCCTAAGATACCTGGGAAGCACAGGCTTCAAAAAATTCCTATCACTGTATACACTATACAGAGGAACTTCCTAAGACTGTGTGCCTGAAGCTAGATGATCCCAAAGAACCTAGAAATCTTACTGCTTTTGCTAATACAATTCGTGAAGTCAGAAAAATTTTACAAAGCCCAGTTCATTTTTCTGATATACTGAGATGTACAAGAATAACAAAAAAAAGATTCACTTTCGCACAGAAGAAAACTTTCTACAGAAGTGAACTACAACAATTGGTGAGGTTGTTCTTCCCTTTTGCTTGCTTTTTACACATGATGAAACATTTAAGCACTACAGTAACTTTTAAAATCAGTCCCCAAATTTAAAAGGAAAATAATGAGCATCATTTGTTTTCTATAAAAGATATACAAAAAGACAAAGTATTTTGTTTTAGTCAATTGCTCTATTTATTTTTAAGGCAATTCTACAATTAATTAAGATACCAGCAAACTTTTTTATTGCATTACTCTGTTCTTAAGCTCTTTAATAATTTGTACCCGGAACCAATAGAGCCAGGCTGAGAAACATTTTATGTAAGCACGAGACCAACCAACCTGAGAGAGTTTTTCATTTGCAGCCTTCATCTCCATATATTTAGCTTGATTTTCCTTTGACATGTCTTTTATTATGTCTTCTGCTACAACCTTTTCACGTTCAATATCTTCTTCTACAGTCTGAATTAACTTTTCTGTGCTGTAAAAATAGATTGGAGTTGTAACTTTTACTAGTTGATGTGTGTTTTAAGAACCTATTTCAAACTCTGGTATTCCTCCAGCTTCACTGACAGCTTACTCTAGGAGCAGTAGCGCTGGACTAGATGATTTCAGAAGCCCATTCCAACATCAGCTCTACTCTGCTTCTATGAATTTTTCAGTGCTCACTTACCCTGAAATTATGCATCATATTTCAAGCCTAAGGGCATTCTTGGCTGCAGTCATTGATCTGATAACTGTTGGTTAGCCAGTTTAAAACTTTTTGCATCTTGCAACTTGGGAAGAGTTAATGAAAAATAGAAGGAAAAGAAAAAAAAGTGGACTGCATCAAAAGCAGTGTGAGCAGCAGGTCGAAGGAGGCGATTCTGCCCCTCTACTCTGCTCTCATGAAACCCACTTGGAGTACTGTGTGCAGTTCTGGTGTCCTCAACGTAAGAAGGACATGGAACTGTTGGAGCAAGTCCAGAGGACGGCCATGAGGATGATCAGGGGCTGGAGCACCTCCCGTATGAAGACAGGCTGACAAAGTTGGAGCTGTTCAGCCTGAAGAAGAGAAGGCTGCGTGGAGACCTCATAGCAGCCTTCCAGTACCTGAAAGGGGCCTATAGGGATGCTGGAGAAGGACTCTTCATCAGGGATTGTAGCGATAGGACAATGGGTAATGGGTTCAAACTTAAAGAAGGGAAGTTCAAGTTAGATATAAGGAAGAAGTTCTTTACTGTGAGGGTGGTGAGACAATGGAACAGGTTGCCCAAGGAAGCTGCTCCATCCCTGGTATTGTTCAAGGCCCAGTCAGACAGAGCCTTGGGTGACATGGTTCAGTGTGAGGTGTACCTGCCCATGGCAGGGGGGTTGGACCTAGATGATCTTAAGGCCCTTTCCAACCCTAACTATTCTATGATTCTAAATCCCAAAGGCACGTATCCAGCTGATTTTGCCATTCTTAGTTGTAGAAATCACTTGGAAACAAGCACACAGTTGAAATAATCCTTCACGAACTGTGAAGGTACACACTTCTTAGTCTCAGGATTTTCTGTAAATTTCCTTTAGCTATCTTCTTAATTGATTAGCCTCCAGAAATTTCTTAGAAATTAGTAGAAAATAAATGAAACAGACACGTGTCCTTAAGTGCTTGTAATTCTGTGCAAACAATGAAGTTTATGCATCACACCCTCCAGCTCTTCTGATGTTTTTCCAAACTACAAGAATTAACACCAATTTAACAACTAGAAATCCTTACTTCAGTATGCAAATATCTTGACTTTTTCTTCATTTGATGACTGATCACATAAAAAAAAAATGCAAGTATTTCGCTGTCTCCAGCATATCTTTAACTGATTATAACAAAACTTGCTTGTAAATTCCCTGTGGCATTTCAACTCAGTACCTTCCATATGATCTGGAACTTGACACCTGAGCATACTACTATTAGACTTTCCTATTGGCTGCAGATCCAATTAAATCCAAGATGATTATAAGAAGTTGCTCAACTTAGTCAATCTTTTCCTAAGGATCTTCTAGGTTTATTATTTTTTTTTCACTGCCTGCTTATTCATCAGGTACAAAGGTTGAACAAAAACAAAGTGCTGTTGCATCATATTATTTCTTGTCAGTGCATTGAAAAATCTGCTCTTGTGCACATATGCTGCTCTAAAAAGCAACAGAAAGGTAAGACACTTGCCACATCTTTTTGAAAATGTAGGCAAAGATTTATTAGTATAACTTTATTGCTAGAGTGGAAAAAAATACATCTTGAGATACATTAAAAGTTCAGGAATTACTATGAACCTTGGACATGGTAAGTTGCTGAGTAAATTGTACTTCAGTAGAAAGCCAGGGAATAGACTGTGTCTTCTCTGGAAAACAGACTATCTGATTACATAAACTTCACTATCTCCCAGAATCTTTTTCTTTAAAAATGCAAGAAAACCAATAGGAATTATATTACTATCAAACAATAACATCTTAAAAAGTTCTCAGAGGAAAACTTTTAAGAAAATGTTTTTAATTACAAGGTATTACAAAGGTACTGCCAGGCTCAGTTTCTTTCCAAAGTAATTATTTTAAACGGCAATTCCTGGAGTTTGGTTTAAGGAAAAAGCTAAATTGCAATTAAAATTACAGATACTTCCTTTTTCTTTTACTGCTCTTCCACAGGTTCCCCACACATACAATACAGGAAATCAAACTTGTAAAAAAACCCCTAACTTGTCATTAGAAACTAAAGTAAAAAATAGGAACTATGCTTTAGACATATGTAGAGCAAATTTTTATGCAGAGTGAAGTTTCAAACAAGAAAGGGATTTTTTAAATTAATGGCATCTCCTTAATTCAGATATTTTTAACTTTTTCCTTGAAGTTTTGAAAAACTTTAAAAATTACTTTCATTTTCAACTTGATTGTTACCAACTTACAGACTAATTTTAAAATAATATTTTAATACAAAACAATATTTTAATATATTTTTCTCACTGTATTAGAGACAATACTTTTCTTGAAATCTGCAAACTACAACAATATTATTAATTTCTATTTCTATATTGCCTGGTTAAGGCCACTCTCTTTCTGAAAATCTTGGAAGCAGGATCTTTAAGGTTCAAGTATACAACAAGATCTGACTGTTAACACAGTCTATACTGGGAGTTCTCAAACTGCAAAATGGTTTCTACTAGTAATATACAAACTGTCCCAAAAAATGAATTACTCAGTTTACCAGCACCATCACTGACAAGAACAACACGTAATATAGAACATAATGGTTGGACTTGACGATCTTACAGGTTTTTCCCAGCATAGTTGATTCTGTAATTTTGTGATACCAACATGGCTGCTCCTGCTAGTACCCCTTGTTTGTGCCACTGACAATGTCTAACAAAATGGTTTATGAATTCTTTTTGTATTTAATGTAGATTTCCAACAGCAGTAGAAACACACAATGGATAAGAGCAGCGTAAATGGCTTTTATTTTCTTATTTCCAAGAAGTTAGTAGGTTTCCAGGCTGATTCAGCTAGGTGACTGAGGTCAGTCCATAGACACCCCAAGCAATCAATTACACTTGAACAAGTTGTTCTGTGCCCTCATGTACTCCATGCTGACTGGCAAAGGCCTCCTGGCACTCTTTTTAAACATTTGTGGAGTTTTTTTAATCTGACTGGCTGCCTAGGTTTAGCATCGTTCATGCAATTGAGCTTCCTTACATAATTTTCCCCACTCTTCTCTGTCAAATTCAGTGATACTCCCTACAGCTAAAAATACAACAGGCATTTGGTCCTCGCTATGCAAAAAGGATATAGGCAGGCTAGAGAGGGTCCAAAGAAGGGCCACAAAGACGATCAAAGGACTGGGAAGCCTGTAGTATGAGGAATGGCTGATAGAATTAGTTTTGCTCAGCCTGGAGAAAGGAAGGCTCAGGGAAGACCTTATCACCATGTCTCAGTATTTAAAGGGTGCCTACAACGAAGACGGAGACTCCCTTTTTACAAGGAGTCACATGGAAAAGACAAGGAGTAATGGGCACAAGTTACTCCTGGGAAGATTCCCATTGGACATGAGGGAATTTTTTCACAATGAGAACAATTGTGAAAATTGGAGATTAATCTCCCCAGGGAAGTGGTGGTCTCCCTGGTGCTGGATGTTTTTAAGATTTGGCTGGACAGGGTGCTGGAACATGTAGTCCAGGTCATGCTTTGCCTAGAATGGTTGGACTAGATGATCCCTGAGGTCCCCTCCAACCAGCTATTCTATGATTGTATGAGATCTTGCAAATAATGCCTGATTCAAAGGAGACGGATGAGTGACACTTTCTCTAAGAGACGTTAATGTTGCAGTGAATACCACTGGTCAGAAAAGCTTTCCTGACTCTGAAAACAGTAAGGCTCAAATTCATACAAAACCCCCAGGACCAAGACTGAACAATGTTTACTTAGTTCCAAAGGTCAGAGCAACAACTGTACCTTTATAATAATCAGAAGACCTGGTTTACATCTTATAATATGCTATATTATAGATAATAAAAATATTAGAAGATCAATCTTCTAAGTAAAAGAATCACAAAAAATAACTTACATAAGAATTGAATAAACCAACAATCCATCTAGTACAGTATTCTACCTCTGTCAGTGGCAATGTAAGAAATTATTTCAGGAGAGCACACAAGCCTGAATACTTTCTGCAGTATGCTCCTATCAGTGTCTTCCAGTACCTGCAACTGTTTTAACAGGGAATTAATAAGTACAGCCATGGCTATTCATTTTACCCATATAAGAAACTGCTGTCTAGTAAATCCCTCTTCTATTTGCTGATACATTCTGCTCACTGGATTTTAGGTTTAGCTCAAAAAAGTGAAAGCTGAATGCATTAATTCTAATAACCTATGTTCTTCCTCTTAATTTCGCATTTCATTGTATTTGTGTAGAAGAAAATTGATTAAATTATCATTGAAATAACTACACCTATTAATTTGTTCAACTACAGAACCACTGTAGAAACCACTGCAGAAGTCAGCGGTATTCTCATACTGGCATATAAAAGTGTTGCTTTTTACTAGGCTCTAAACATGACACTCTCTTGGCTTGTGATCTGTGCTGGAACACTGTTTTTGAATCCTGTCTCTGCTGACTGCAACTTTACTTCTCAAACTGTAAGTTTTATATGTAAATTACCCTTATTTTTCAAAGTTACACTAGAAGCTAAAGGCATTTTTAAAAGCCACCTTGTAAACATAGAATTACTGAAGAAGCACGTAGAGGCAAGTAAGATTACATGGCTTTCTGTGAAATGGACAACTAGCTGCTGGCAGTCATTTTCAGTGGGTGAATAACACTGAAACATATTTGAGATGGATTTGTATACCAGCCATCTCTTTGCTGACAACAGGAGTGCCTCCTTTACCTTTACATTATTTTGGAATAGACCTAAAAAGCAACAGTTATTTGGACAAGGCCAAAAACTGCTCAAGTTTGAGAGATTTACCAAGTTAGTATTTGACCAAGTCAGCTCAAAATGTATGTAAGAAATTTTAAAAGGTTTTTTCTTCCAGAGATTAATGTAATGGATTTTGTATTTACTAGAGAATGGAGGGGAAGGAAGAAAACTTAGATTAACAGTCAAGTAATAAAATTGGTATTGCACTACCTGCTCTGACTCACTGCCCACTGGGTCAGTACTATATCTACTGTCTGTTAATCTTTGGGACAAAGATAAAGAATAAAAAAACCATTTACTGGGTATATACAGTGTAGAAAAGGCACTCCACTACATTTGTTTTTAAACCAGCTATCTAGCTATACTCAATCTGGTCACAGCAGTAGCAAGCTGAACGTAAGCTACTTAGTTAGGAAGAGGAGTAACACAACTAGTCAGTTTGCAAGACTAAGAATCTCCTTTAAACCCAGTTCAAGTATCTTGACACTAAACTATAGCTTACAGTGATGCATGCATGTACATATAAAGAAATCTACTCTTGTCAGCAAACAGCCGTCCTTTAAGGTATAGTTAACACTCTCAAACCTGAAAAGACTGCAGCTATGCTAAACTTAAAGCCAGAAAACCAAAATTGTTATAATAAAAAAAAAAAATCCAACAAAAATCAAATTAAATGTTTTGTTGAAGGTCTACTCCAAACATGTTTTTAAAAGTAAATACAGCTGTTTTTAAAATAAAACAATACATTAGAAAAGGCATATTTGAATTAATTTTCAGCCGTGGATCCACTTCCTGACACCTTCTTTCCAGATTGTGTGGGAAATGAATCCTTTTCCTACTTAGCCAATCTTCACATAGAGTCCTAAAACAGAGAGCCCTACTAACTCCAAAATACTATGCGAAACCATTTGAATATTTGCCAAATAGTTTGAATAATCATCATATAAAAAGCCTTGCATGCCAAACAGAGCTCGAGCACTAAGTGATCTGAAACTTCAGGTCTCTATATTAGGAGCATTCATTCCCCTCTATCACCAGACCATGGGTGTATTAAGAAAAATATAAATAAAATTGCATGAAGAGCATTAGAACTTTTAAAGTGCTGGCATTAAAAAATACAAGAAAGATTTTTTGTGCCCTCAATAGTCATCACTGAGACATCTTCAATGGACTTCCCTATAGTATTTAATTGTTGTCTTTTTTTCAACAGGTCACTTGTGAGGCGTCTGGAAAGAACCTCTCTAATATACCCAGTAACCTTTCCCAAAATGTTACTATATTAAGCCTCAAAAATAATAAAATCACTTTAAAAGATATCGACAAAGAGATTCTTCAAAGTTTTATTAAACTCATTGAACTTTACCTGAATGAAAACATGATTATTGTACTGTATAACAATAGCTTCTGCAATCTGACAAAACTGGTAATTCTGGATATCAGCAGCAACCGTATTAGCACAGTTCATAAGACAGCATTTGCAGGATTAAATCAACTGTCAGTGTTGAATCTATCCTATAACATGATTACTCAACTAGATCCTTATACATTTACTTGTCTAAAAAGTCTGACAGCTTTAAATCTACAGTATAACCCTCTGAAATATTTTCATATAAAATCACCCTTTAAATTGATTAAAATAGTTTTAGCTGGAAACCCCTGGACCTGCTCCTGTGACCTCCTTGATTTACAGATATGGCTAACTGCCTCCAATGTGACAAAGGGTAAGTTTTGGTTAGAGCAACATTTCATACTTTTTTATATTAAACAGCCTTATCTTATTTTTTACTGATCTGGATAATATCCACTATCAGCTTATTAGCTTTTTGCAATAATACATTAGCTTACCTATGACTTTTTTTAGATCAGAGTGCCAATTAATTAATAATATCTCATAGCCTTTCCACTGCTCGCATCCACAGAAAATGAAAACAACACTATATGTACGTTCCCAAATACCAAGGAAAAATGCTCCATCAAAACAGTAGCTATTCAACCAGCTGACTGCAAAACTGAACAAGCTTCTTTAGAAAACACTGTAACTTCCGCTTCTGCCATTAAGCTTAAAAGTAGCGCCTTCCTAACAGCTCGGACTCCAAACATCACTGAAAACAATGGGACGCATGCAGGTAATATACTGATGTTCCACATTATTGCTTATAAGATGTTGGATTTGCTATTCCATAATTTCATACCATTTGTACACCTCATACACTATAATTCTTCCATAAAAGCTGTGATTATGGAACAGGCATATTTCCAGGTTTTGGTAGACTGCATACAGACTATAGTGAATGCTAAGCTCTACGGAGTAAGTGTTCAAAACTGATAAACCACATCTGAATTCTCAAATGACACTACAAACTGACGATGACATTTCAAAGTCTTGAAATTCAGGTAATTGCCCATATCTACCTAGCAGAACTGGGGAAGGATCTTTTAAAAATTTCAGTTACTTCTTCCAAAATCACTGCTTTCTAGAAGCAGCTGTCTTCTTAAATGTGAAATAGTGAGCAATAGTGAGCAATAATTTTACTCCTGCCTTCAACTGTGTTCAGTGTAAAGGAGACAGATGTGCCCATCCCATATTCTTTCAAAATTTCAGTCTCCTTAATTTTCTACCCATTTTGAGGGTAATTCTATCATCACTGTAATATTTTAGCTTTTCTTTTGGTCAAGTCACTTTCTTCTTTCTCACATGCAAATTTCCACTCTCCATACTGTAATGTTTTTTACTTCTTGCTTCTGACTAAAGCAGAAGATACATTTTCCAGATACATACGCAAACAGTACACAGCCACTGCTATACACTTCTTTTACCATAACAGCTAGATTCTATTTTAGGACAGGGGCCAGCACACAAAACCAGATTCTAAATAAAGACTCCTGGAAACTACAGTCTATTGAAATTTTTATTTTAAAAGAAGTACAATAGCCAAACAAAAGATGTAATATTTTAGGCTGCAGACATCATCACCAAACAGAAATTTAAGCCTGCGAAATAGAATTTGAAGTCAATTACTGTTTGGGTTTGTCTGGTTTTGTTTTGTTTTTTTTTTTTCCAAAACCTAATCTTGGAATTTAAATTTTGGAAAAATATCATTTTTTAGTTTATATGCCCCCAGAATTTTTTCCAACTTTGAAGCTATTGTTTTTTATAAATATGCATGGTGGATATATATTGCTAAGAAATATAAGATGTACATGCATGTTTTGGTCAGGTGATGTGGCTAATTCCTCAAGAACATAACAATAAAACTCTACTAAAGCTTTGGATACACTCAGTAATTCCTCTATGATTGTTTATTTTGCGAGTTCCCAATTTAACTATGAAAAAATTCATACTAGAGTTCTTGCTGGCATTCCTCATGAGGATGATTCTTCCTTTTTTCCTGTTTGTTTTAAAGAGTTACCACTTCCTGGCAAAAGCTGGACCTTCCTAGCAGGTGTCCTAGGGTTTGTCCTAAGCATTACACTCCTGATTTTTATGGCTGCAAAATGCCCAACATGGTATCGCTATTTGATAAGCTACAGTCACCGTCATCTAGAAGAAAATGACTCAGAGATGTTTGAACAGGAATTCTCAGCTGACATGAGTTCTTTTCCTACATTATTGGATACAAACAATGAAGATCCAATTTCCCTTGAGAAAATTCATACATGTGTGCCTGGGGAAGATGGATTTATTGAGAATAAATACACTGATACTTATGCAACTGAGGAGAGTTAATAATGTCTTAAGGATGAAGAACTGATTTCTCAAAACTGTAGTACGCTTGTACTTCCGTATTATGCGACTTATGTACAATACAAAAGGAGGTTAAGCAGTCCATCTCCTCTCATCTTGACAAATTCATAACAAGGTTTGCTGCATGAATCATGAAGTTAAAAAAAAATGTGGTGATGTGCATGCCTCAGTGCCACAATAAGTAGTTCAAGACATGCAAAAAGTACTCAGAATCCACCTTTCATAAAATCCTAATTGGTTACTTACGGCAGGGAGAGAGCTTACTGTATATTGCTTAATATGAACTCTTTACAAAGTAGCTTGTAAAGTTGGCATAATCACTAATTCTTTAATTGTGAGTAAGTCCAGAAAGGAAAAATAATTTCTCTAAAATGCTGGAGCAGATCACAGCCAGACTAGGGGCTGAATCCAAATCAGTGGTGTCCCAGCTCAGCAGGCTATTAAGCTAAACCAAAGCTATCAAAAGAACAGAGCATTTGTTGGGTTGTTTTCTTTTTCCTTTTCCTTTTTACCCAAATTAGCAGAGCAAGAAAGACCAACTGCTCCATTCCCTTAAGTGAGCCTACATACACTACAACAACAAGTTATCATTACTGTATACCCGATGTCTTTACTCCTTAGTTTGCTACTGAACCTAATTTCTTCTTTTTATACTTATTTCCTTAACACTTAAAAATGCATTCAGGGATAAAATAGACACATTTGTGAGCTGCTGAAAACTGCAATTCTATTGAAAAGTGACCTACTATTACAAGGCAAATTGTTTTTTAAAAGTGCTTATCTATACATAGAATCTTATAATTGAGATTGCTCTTGCTTGCAACAAGCAAGATATCTCTTTCTCCCGCACATCTCTGGTTCCTAAATTAAACATCTCAGAAACTCACCCTCTCAGCCTATAACTACACAAGCCATTCTCATGGTGTACGAATTGTTACTGCAAGCATATTGCTGTCATCTTCCTCTCCACAAGTCCCCACCTAACACAGGAAACTCAGTGATAGTTCCCATTTCTGCTTACTTTTTCCACTCTGGATTCCACAACACAACTCACAAAACTCAGGTTCCCAAAAGACAGGAATCTCCACTGCCGCTTAAGTCCTCCTGGATGACATAGTAAGTATCTCCTCCAAGCAGTTAATCAGAAGAGTTTAAAGCTAGGAACCCAGCTGCGGTATGGCACTACTATACCATCCTGAAATTGCTCAGTTATCACATGTGGCATACATGGAATCGTTAAGGAACTTCTGAATCAGATACCACCTCAATTTTGCCAAGTTTGGTTATGATTTTAACAGCTTTGGAGAAACATACACTTCATGTACTCACGTTTGTCTTTCTGTGAAAATTTTATCCACACTCTGAGTGTCTTGGTCATTCTGAACCTTTAACTTAAAAAAAAAAAAAAAATCTGATATAATATACAGTAATAAAGATACATGTTCTATATATAAATTTGAAAAGTTTACTTTGGAAGAGAAGAAGCAGCTCAGAATGCATTAGAGGAAGGAGCAGCAGAGGCCACCTGCTCCAGAGGGTTTTCACAGTTGATACTGAGCAAAGGCCATCTGAAAGTACAGTCTTCTACTGGAAACCAAAGGAAGTAAAAAGGCATCTCTATGTTTAAAAAATCTAATCAAGTTTGTTACAAATCAAGTCACTTACTGTGGGATCTATTCCTGCAACATTTAGTAAAATACTGTTTAAGTCTACAGGCATGATGAAAATGTAACACTTGCAAAGCATTCTTTTCTTTATGACACAGACATTGTGACTTTATTGTGCAATCAAATGCAGGGGGGGAATGTTGTTTTGACCAAAATAACGTATTCTAAAATCAAACTAGTTTCTTTTGCTTATGGACAAAGTTATCCTAAGAAATGGAACATGCTTAATGCCACTTGTGTCTTAAGACTTAGAGGAACACTCTATCTGTATTAGAAAATAAAGAAAGGCAAATGAGAGCTCATTGATTTTGTGGTTATATTTATTATTTAATAAATATTGAATATTTATAACATGGGAGTAATTTAAAAGGCTGAAGAAACAATATAACTATCTTTCCAGAAGACCAGGCAGCTTTACAAGGCAGTGCAGTCTAATGAATTTGCCTTTCATAAGACTAGTAGTGTTCCATGTTCCCAAGTCAAATAAAGAATATATCTTAACACTCAAAATTTGGGTTGGGACAACATCCTTCTCAAATCTAAACCATAGAAAAATATCATGGGCCTGTTAATGCAACACTTCAGACAACCGACTCACTGCAAACATGTTGCCCATGGTTTATTTAACTTGGAAAAATGGGTAAGTTTTAAATTAGTGCTATGCCTTTTAGATACATTGTACATTCAAAGTTCCAAGAATGTAACACACCATTTCACCCTTCAAACATAGCTTATATCCTATTTCTTACCATATTGTAATCGTGAATCACTTCTGCCATATCTGTACTAGTATTAAGTATATCCACAACCTGAAATGAGACAGAATTCCAACCTATTAATGCTCTCCTTTTGTTTTAAATTACACACAAAAAAATCAGACAAGTAAGTAGTCACTCACAAAGCACTTACGAAAACACAACAATTTTGTGTTATTGCAAATGGAAAAAAAATGATGTGGGAATCTGAATAGATTACATGCAGTTTTAAAATCTCAGATTCATAGAATGGTTAGGGTTGGAAAGGACCTTAAGATTATCTAGGTCCAAGCCCCTACCCATGAGCAGGGATGCCTCAGAGTACACCATGCTGCCCAAGGCCTCGTCCAACCTGGCCTTGAACACTGACAGAGATGGAACATCTATCACTTCCTTGGACAAGCCATTCCAGTGCCTCACCACCCTCACAGTAAAGAACTTCTTCCTTATATCTATACTGAACTTCCCCTCTAAGTTTAAACCCATTCCCCCTTGCCCTATTGCTACAGGCCCTAATGAAGAGTCCCTCTCTGGCACCCCTGTAGGCTCCCTTCAGATACTGGAAGGCTGCTATGAGGTCTCCAGGCAGCTAAACAGCCCCAACTTTCTCAGCCTGTCTTCATATGGGAGGTGCTCCAGCCCTCTTATCATCCTTGTGGCCATCTTCTGGACTTGTTCTAACAGCTCCATGTCCGTCTTAGTTGAGGACACCAGAACTGTACACAGTACTCCAAATTTTCAGAAATTATTGTCATTATATGTAGCTGTACATAACCCACAAACGCTATGCTGCAGTAATTTCTTAAATCCATATGCAACTGCTTCTCCTAATGTATAGTACACTTTTTTTTCTTTTATGATTTCTTTAGTTTCCACAGTTTCACTTTCCAATAACTGAAATTATTGAGGCAGAATTAATGAGTGTATTTTCTTATTAATACTGAGGTGGTACTAAGCAATGTATTTTTACAGAGAAAAGTTAATAAAAAAGATGCTGAAGCAATACAAAGCAAACAAGATAGGGAGAGCATTCAGTATCATAAGTTGATAGCAGCATACCATGTTGTAGTCTGCTAGCTGACCTTGAAATTCTTTGATTTCTCCAGCTAGAGCCTCTGCCCTAAATATAAAACAAAATCAAACTTCAGACTTGTACGTATAAAAATAAAATAATGAAAAGAAAAAAAAAAAGATATTACTTAGTGGTTTCTTGAAGGCAGCACAATACCTGAGAATAGTTTTGTTACTGAGAAAGTTAGCACTGCATTAGCTGCAACATCTCACCTTTTTTCATATGACAAGTAGACAGTTTTCTCTTGCTTGTACATTTCTACTTCTTCCTGCAGCTTGTTAATTTCTGTTGTTAGTTCACTTGTTTTGCTTCTGCAAAAAAAAAAAGCAAAATATTGGAATGTACAACTAAAACACAGAATAGAAACTGTGTTTTACTCTAGCTGTGCAATCAGTATGTCTTTCTCACACTGCATGATGTTTCAAATCAATATTTCAAAGAAGAGCTGTGGAAGTGAGCAAAAAATACGACTGTTTCTAGCAGATAAATTAGTAAGTAGCTGTTAGAAAACCTGGATATGAAATAAAAGACTTTAATTAGCTGTGTCCCTGCTGGTGAAATGTAAATTATTCTCAAATGGACAGGTAAAAAGACCACAGTATCATGGTATATATCATAGTATTTCACAGAGTATGGATATCATCCATATGTAAAATTATGTATTTTAGGACTGATCATTCAATACTGCAATATGATCAACTGACAAAATAGCCTTGTATACAGTACAGTTTCTGCGAGGCCTTGACTTTGTTAGCATTAGCTCAATGTATTATCCACGTAAACCACCTGAAATGTACACTACAAAATGCTTAGTTTGTGATGTGACTTCTTCCAAATGCAGCTATCAGACCTATCAAGCATTACAGGTGGAAGCTCAAAATCACTGATCCTTTTTTACTAACGCTGTGGGAGTGCATACGATTTAGCAAGTCTGATCACAAAATGTCAAAGGCATCCACTTGGACTTGAACATAAGCATAAAATTTCCTCCCTCCTACACAATGACCATACCTCTTATAAGAGAACAGATTTTATTGTAAATGAACACCACTTATCCCATGCTCCTGTTAAGCACAATAAATTTCATGTCAGAAAGTGAACAGAGCATTAAACCTCCTGCAGTTTTAATGTGCTTTTAAGACATACCTCAGCAGACCCAGGTAATATGTTTTATCCATTATCTGTCTCTGAGGACCTGACAAAGGACAGTAAGATGACATTTTGTTAGAAAACAATTAATGTTGATGAAGTGTAAATTATGAAATTTTTTTTGCAGAATTTAGAGGCAGAGAACTGCCATCTTCTCAGAGTTCTTAAAAAGATAGTACCTCATTATAACAAATCAAAGCAGAAATTAATTTCACATTGTTGCAAAGATAAACATTACTTTTTTAGCTGTACTAATAGTTACTACATAACACAGTATTTTAATTATTCTGCAGTGATGAAAGAAGACATAATCTGTCTTCTTCTATGCTTCTGAATGATTTTTAAAGACAGCTCAGGCACAGAAAAGCCTTTGTCATCTATGATTGCCAAGAGCAAAGAAAATAACAGGGATGTTTTAATCTTCCTTTCCTTTCTCGTACTCCTATCATTCACAGCTATTTACTTGGCACTTTGTACAGGAATGAAAAAGTTGCCTTTAGAAACCTACATATTCCTTTAAAATGTCTGCAGACACCTTGATAGCTACTTTCAGTAAAAAAATACCTTTCATTGCAGTTTTCATTCCACTTAAACCATGTTGAGTCACTGGACGGTCTGCAACTTTAATCTGAGATGATAAGACTCCTCCAGTAGCTGAAAGGCCACCACGAGAAACAGGTCTTGATGTACTAGGAGGCATCTATAAAAAAAGGACCAAATAACCAAACTACAAACCTCCCAACACTGAATTATGACTTTATTATCCTTATGCAACTGTCAAAGCAACTGAAAACTTCAGTTAGTCTCTATACTATTCCTGTAAGAATCTTCTAATATTTACATCTCAGACAAAGCATTAGTCAAATGTCTGCTGCAAAAGGGTAAGAAATTACTTTTGAACAACTTTTCATTGTTCCCTCTGTCTGCAACATTAATGCTATTAAGGTCTCCCAGCTGAACTTTTGATGCAAGAGTTCTCTTGACTCCTTTCAGGCAAAATTGAGAAAAGAAACAAAACCAAAAACTCTCTACAAAACTTAAATCTTAAAAATTCTTCCTGAGAAACTATCACTCCAGTCACAGTACTAAAAATAAAACAAAAACAAAACACAACAAAGCAAACAAACAAACAAAAAACCCTATCAAAATGATAAAAATCTAAATATATCAAGTTTTGTTTGGTTTTTTTTTTTTTAACATACCCCTGTTCCTATTCTGGTTGCTGATGCAGTCCTTGATGAAGTGGAAGGCCTTGTGGTCAACCCTATTCCTGCTCTTGAAGAAGGACGAGCTATTGGAGGTCTGTGACTGCTGGCCATATTTATTTCTTTTTGAACTTCTTTCTGGAACAATGGATAGAAATACTCCTTTATTTTGCACAAGGTTTTTTAAAAATATCATGCATCAACTCTATAAAGCTTAATTCTTCCCCCTGTCAAAAGGAGCTTAATTTTCTTTAAAAATCTGCAAAGCACTTCATTACTGGAAAAGCATGGTACGAGACAGACAGTGCTCAGAAGGGACCACAGAAGATCAATGAGTAAGGAGAGACAGCAGTGCCTTTTCAGTCCCAAGTGCTTACTCAGTCCTCAGGTGGTACTGTTAAAACAGATGACTCCTCCTAATTCTTGTTGCACTTATTGTTTCGGCATCTGCCCACAGAATGCAAGTCTCTCATGAAATAAACTGGAAGTGAACAGCTGTTGTCAATACCCATCTGGGTTATCTGGGGACAGTCCTTCAGGCATCACCAGCCACCAACACAAACCCAGAACACACACCCCCTGACAAATCGTAGCAGCTTTCACCAGCCCCTGAGGAGCAACGCCACGGCCATAGTACATAGAAACTGCTCTTGAATGGCTGAGGCTGTCAGGCAGTGGATCAGACGGGCCTGTGAGATGGTGTTACTACTGGCCGTGACCTAAAAGGGCAGAAGTGCCGCAGGTCCCCCGGGTCGACAAAGACCCTCCCCCAGGCGCGCTGAGGGCTTCTGGAGCTACAGAACCCCGCGGAGCCCCAGGCGGGCCTGGACCCCCTCCTCTCACCGGAGTCCCGGGTCGCCATGAACTCTCCACACACCACACCGCTGGTATCGCAGCAACTCCACAACCAAGCGGCGCCGCGCCAGAGATATCGCGAGATTTAGAGAGCTCACCCCGGCGTACGCCGGCTTGCAGTTCGCAGGACTACAGCTCCCAGAATGCCTCGAGAAGAAAGCGCAGTGCTGTGTCCCGGCGCTGGGTCGCGCTGCCTGCAGGGACATGGAGTCTCCTCGCCTGTCTCTGTCGTGCCTACTGATACTTCTTCCGGCGCGGCGCCCGGTGTTTTCCGTCAGTGGGGGTGGTTGCTGTGTCAGAACGCCTCGGCTGCCTCCGGCCATGGCGGGCAATGGTGGCGTGTACCGGCTTCGCTGCTCCCTGCTGGGGCACGGGCAGGACGTGCGGGGTCTGACCCGCAGCCTGTTTCCGCCGGGCGGTTTCGTGTCCGTCTCCCGGGACCGGACTGCGCGGCTCTGGGCTCTTGACGGGTGAGTGCCGGGCCGCGGCCCTTGTCCACTGAGGCACCGACTCTGGGCGGCCGCTGCGGGTTGTGCTATGCGGAAGGAAGAGAGCGGACGTGCGGCTTTGGGAGCCCACTTACTGCGCCAGGGTCTTGCCCGCTCCTGCGACCCGGCGGGGTCGGCGGGGCTGTGGCGGCGGCGTGTGCCTGTGGCGGCGGTGGTGGAAGCATGTTCGTCGGAGACTTCCCGATGGGTTTGTGAGTGGCCGCAGCTTTGCCACTCGCACGCCTGCTTTGGGAGAAGGTCGGGGAGGCTCAGGCAGTTAAGTGAGTGTCGGTGTGTTTAGCTGCTTTGCAGGCGCCAGTGATGTCCGTGAATCTGTGCGTCTTTTCTCCGCGTGGTATTTATGTTGTTTCCACCTCTTGGTATTCAGTGCCAAAGTAATCCTGCTAAGTAGCAATGTTGCATTTTTGACAGTAAGGCAGTATGCTTTGAGTATTTTTTAAAGTCCCTTTTCTAGCTCTTGCTGAGCAGACTTTGGACATAGAAAAGAATGTGAATCATGACCTGCACAGAAGATTTAAATACACAAACAGGAATACTGGAAGAGGAAAAAAAAAAAACAAAACAACACCCAACATTAGCTTCTCCTATTTTCATGTTGTGCAGGGTTGTCTCCTACGGGATTTGTCTTCTTGAATTCACTCAGTGAATTTTTCAGGATATCACTGTGACCAGAAGAGGCATTGCTAAGAAGTGTTAATAGGATGGGGATGTGTAGGGCACTGAACACGGGACATTTCTCCTTACTAGTCTATAATTCCGAATTGTGAACTGCAGTCTGAATTTGCTAGACATGGATGTTCCACTGCTGTCCTGTTAGTGGAGAAGCTGCTACCTGAGCACTCACACACCATTCAAGGAGTTGCACACACACCAACCGAGGCTTTACTGCTGGGACCAGAGTCCCTCTGAGTCATGGATGGCCCTTCCAACTCCTTGCTCACCACACCCGAACCCTCCCCATCCTTTAGGCTCACTGCAAGGTTTCCTGCTGCAGAGTGTCAGCTTTTCGATTCTAGTGAGAAATAATTTAATAAAGTGGTACAGCTCCGTGCTGGTGTCTCTGAAGAGGGACCTGAGCAAAGAAATCCCTGGGCAATTAGATCCTTATGATCTGTGCACCCACTCCTCACGTGCCTTTGTAGTCCAGTTGTGAGTTTTTGTTTTTGTCTGGGGTCTCCTAACACTTTACAGGACTCTGTCTCTGCCTTCATACATGCAGGCTGTTAACTGTTCTTATTTTTTGAGTTGCAACTTCTGCTGATGTGGCAGCCTTCTTGTCTTCTGGTCTGTGCTTGTTGTGCACCTTCTGGAGCATGGAGCACTAAAAAAAAAAAGTCCTAGGCCTAGGATAAAAATTACTTGGCAACAACTAAAATTTCAATGTGCATTCTTCCCATACTAAGCACAAAAACCAGCACTATACTAGATTACTAAGAAAACTAACTGTATTTCAGCCAGAAGCATATCTGGGGAAAAGCCCAAAGCTTATGGCCCAAGGCTTTAGTAAATCTAGCTGTTCATGCTAAGCAAACAGCATACTAAACCACACAATACCAGAACTCCAAGTGACTCAAACTATTTAAAACTTACTTATTTAACCTAAATAACTAATATCTCTGAAAGCTTCCAGTGAAACAGAGATAATAGGCAAATGCATCTGAACGTATGTGTTCAAATGTAGCTCTGGAGTTGAGGGAGAGGAACACTAATCTCATTAAGTGTGTCCTCGCAAGGGGAAGAACTTGTTAAATTGCTTGGAAACTTACTGCAGGAAAGGAGGTCTAATTCCAACCCATAATTTTTGATGGCTGTGTGAGGAAGACATGAGTAACTTACACAGAGTCATAGCATTGGTGGTTATTATCTCTCTGAAGACTCTGGGATTACAGTTAGGCAGAGTTCAGTCAGTAAACAGACTGCTGTGTGTTATTTTTGTTTTACAGGAAGTTACCTTCATTTGTTCTCTGTGCCTTCAGCAGAGAAATTTTAGAATTTAAAAGAGTATCATGATTTCTGTGCATATTCCAAGCATTTCAAACATTACAGTCTGATATGATATATGTTGTTTGATGGTTTTGTTTTCTTTTTGGAGGGGGATGTGTGAGGGGAAGGAAGAAACAAACAAAGGAAAAAAAAAAACCACAAACAAGCAAACCCCACTGCAGTCCACACAGTTATTGTGTGGGAATAAGTAGCTTTTTCCAGTTAGTACTATAACTCTTGAAGATGGACCATGATGAAGAGATGAGTGGTGCTTGAATCAGTTATAATCTATTTAATTATTAAACATCTACTATGCTCCTAATTAAGTGCCAATGATTTGGCAGGCAGTAAAGTTCCTTCGTTTAGGTACTCTCATATTTTAGGCTATGTTGGGATACATAGTTAAGGCTTGAGACAGCAATAGATTTCAAAAGGCAAACTGTAACTACTTCTTATCAAATTGAACATAGTGTTTGCCAGTGAGCAAAGACAACCAAAACTAAGTCCTTCCAGGCCTGCCATGGAAGCTTTAAATATTGCATAATGGGTGGAATGCTGGGATATAACTTTTCTCTTAAGCTTTTCATTCTTTCTAAGTCATCCAGAGTTTTTATTCAGTGCAGTGAAAGCATAGTTATTAATTCAAGAGTTGGAGTATAAAACATCTGCTGTTACTCAGTGCCTCAAATAAGTGCTGTTTCTGTTATGACTCTGAACTGATTATGACTTATGTTTAGTCTTAACAGGGGGTTTACTGAAATCCACTGTATGAGTGGCCACTCAAATTTTGTATCCTGCGTATGCATCATACCTCCAAGTGAACTCTATCCTCGTGGACTGATTGCAACTGGTGGCAATGATCATAATATTTGCATTTTCACAATTGACAACCCAGCTCCTCTTTACATCCTTAAGGGTCATAAGAACACAGGTATGTAGTAATTTTATTTTGGAGTTTGTTGCATAAAAGCTAGCATAATTTGTTACAGAAGAAATGAAGTTAACTCAATTTTGATTAATGTTTAGCACAGAAAACTACTTAATTATTGCCTCTGCAAATAGTATTTTATAATCACAGTTCATGCAGTGACAGTTCATTGGAAGGACTTCTGAGTTTCACTGATGAATGCTTGAGCTTTTAAATGGCAGTTTACAGAATTGTCTTGAAAACACAGTCTGTCACCTGGTGTGTGATAGCCAGTTCACAGGCATAGCTGAGATGTTTGTTCATTGTTGATATCTGTGTTTTGAGGATGAAACAGTCTTTAAGGAGTCTTTCCTGTTTAGAGATATATTAGCCCTGTTTCTTAAACAATCTGTGCAAGGCCAAAGCCTTCTCCCCTGCTGTGAGCTCTTTTCATTAGTCAGTACTGTTGTTCTTGGGTCATCCTGAAATTTTAGGAGGCCCTTGTATTTGTTCAGGCTTTTCCATAGTAACAAAGTTCCATTTTTTAACTCTATGTCTACATGACATAAGTCCCATTTTTTAAACTATATGCCTACAATAGAATAACCTTTTTGCTTAGAGTTGCATGTTTTAAGAAGCAATTTAGCAGTTAAGAGCATTTAATTTAAAATGGTTAAATGAAGAGCAGCTAATTTAGCTCTCCATTTATTAAGCTTAATTTTTATGTCAAAGTTGATAGAAGTAGAAAAAGTCAGATTCCTAAGTATCTTCTAAAATAAAAGATTTCTCTGCCCATTTTTTTAACCTAGACAGGGATCTAATATTAATTGATGCTTTAAATACATAGTAACGAATAAAAGCTCACTGCAGAAATTTCGTCTCTCTTTAGTCAGGTCAGTACAACATGTGACGTATTAAACCAACTTTGTATACCTTCTTTTGAGCTATATAAAAGAAGATTCAGCAATTTTCATATTAGCATACCAAGTTTTGCATTTTGTGAGCTGATCTAATATTTAACAGACGTTTGAACTGTCTTATCATTTAATTATTAGGTGTCAAAAAAGAGTCTTGGAGATTTTGAGGGGTTTTTTGTTTTATTTTTTTCCCATTTGTGTTATTGAGTGGCTGTGGAGCCTAGTTCAAAAATACCCTGGACTTTCAAAGAGCACTTAAAATGTATTTTTGTATTATAAACCTCCTGTATTATATTTTATTATATGTGTATTATTTTTGTATTATAAACCTATTCTGAGAGAATAATGTCATTGTGTAAGGAGCCGTGGAATAGCTTGTGTACTTTATGAGAAACATAGGATGGATGGTTAAAATACTGTGACACATTACCTCCAGAGCTGGGGAAAAAAAAAAAAAAAATGCAATGAGGTATTTTAGGCATGGTATAGATTCCACTACAAACGAAGTATTTGTAGCAATTTTTACAGTAATGTAAAATTACATTAATTGTAAAATTGAGTGTTTCAAAGTGGGAGGAAAAATGACAAGGTACTCTTGACAAGTGGCAGTGTAGAATACTGTCCAGTTCTCAGTGTGGAGTCAGAGAAGGAAGAAACGTAAGGCCATACTTTCCTTCAATGAACAGTTAGGTGTACAGAGTACTCTATTACTTAACTCTTTTTGTAAACTTATTAGGAAGCCATATTATCACTTCATTTTTACACTTATGTATTACTGGAGCATTTGCAGATTAACTTTTTGCAAAGTCTTTAAATGTTGCCGCAGTTTCTTGGTAGTAGTATTTTGCCTTCCAAGGGGATGAGCTAAGTATTTTTTGTAAGAGATCTTGCTTTTTTTGAGGAAGGACATAAATTAATTCATCATGTTTATGAAATCTTGTCTTTCTCTGTAATCTTAAAGCTAAACCTTTGCATTAATTTTGTTTCTTGACTAGTTATCTAACTTGCTTTTCAAAATATCATAGTCTGAGGAGATCTAATAATAAGAGAAATTTAACAATATGAAAGGGTAAAAGATGTGAAATTTTGTAATCTAAAGTGAACAGATTCTTAAGCACCTGCTTCCTAGGTTGCAATGCAACTACAATTCTACTCCTCAAGACTAAATATGCTACTAACACCAAGTAAATGTCCTTAAATAAATCTTTTTAAATTGCTGGTATGCGATTGGCGACAATGTACTTGTCAGTGCTAATTCTAATCTTCATTCCAGTTTGCAGCCTTTCATCTGGGAAATTTGGCACGTTATTAAGTGGATCATGGGATACAACGGCCAAGGTCTGGTTGAATGACAGATGTATGATGACATTACAGGTATGAAGTTCCTCTACATGAAGATAAAGTAAGTACTCTGAATTTGATTCTGACAAGTCTAACAATGTCATTTTGCAGGGTCACACAGCTGCAATATGGGCAGTGATAATACTGCCTGAACAGGGATTAATGTTGACTGGTTCAGCTGACAAAACCATTAAACTGTGGAAGGCAGGCAGATGTGAAAGAACATTCACTGGTAAGCGTTGCTGCAGTTGGTAATTTCATCAGGGTCAAATGCTAATTTAAAAAATCTGACAAAACTGTAGATAGATTGAACAACGTTCAGGCAGGATTTTTAAAGACCCTTCATTTGTATGGCCAGAAATCGCATCACTTTTAAAAGAAATAATTTTTTTTTCCAGAAAATAATGAGCAATTAATTGTTTTCTTTCTTTTTCTTTTTTCTTTTTTTTTTTTAACTGCTCCCACAATGAAGATTGTCAGGATTTAGATGTGAGCTAAACAGAAATGGTATACTGCTGCTAATGGAAAGACAAGATGCATTAAAAGTTTTCCTTTTATTTTGTAAAGGACATGAAGATTGTGTGAGAGGTTTAGCTATTCTCAGTGAAATGGAATTCCTTTCCTGTGCTAATGATGCTACTGTTCGAAGATGGCAGATATCTGGCGCGTGTCTGAATGTGTATTATGGACATACAAATTATATATACAGCATCTCTGTCTTCCCTCAGTGTAAAGGTAGGATTATTTTTGTGACTAGAATCCAAAATTCTTCCAAAATGAAATGACAGAGTAGGCATTCTGTAGTTCTGCAGAGCTGCCACAACTAAAGAACTTGGGTAGTGTTTACTTCTTTATTTACAATTATTTCCAATTAATTAAAATTTAATCGTAAATAATTGAAAAAAAGACTATGATTGACTCCAGATCGCACCCCTGGCAGAATTGCTCTGGTAGTAGGTGAGATGAAAGGTCCTGGGTTAGGCCAAATTATAAGGCTTAAGGGAAACTTCAGCCAAGTGATAGGCAAAACTATCATCCAGTTTGTCACCTGTTCTTGAAGTACATTATAAATAGTTTAAGTTAAGAATTTTATATGTAGGGCTTAGTTGTGTTTGTTTTCAGAGTTAGAGCTTTAGAAGTTCAGAGCTAACTGTAGCTGGCAGTTGCAGAAGAAATGCAAAGTCGGTGAGCTTTGTGTGATGTATGGGTTGGCTTTTGAACAAGGAAAGTGCATGCATATTGGTGGATGTGCATGTAGTAAATCCCCTATGCCTTATCATTCTTCACTGAGGAGTTTATAGACTTCTGAGAGTGCTTTATTATTACTGCATGTTTCCTGAAAAAGTGGGCCTACCTTGCAAAAACCTGAATTTAAAACAAATGCTAAATTATGCAAGTACAGTGCAAGATAAAACAGTGATGGTTACAAAATTTTTCAAAATTCTCTATTTAAATTTTTGAAAGGATGAAGTAATCTTGTTTGTCCTGATCATAATTTCATTCCCTGTTTGGCTGCTTGGGCAGCAAGGTGTGCACTTCATTATTTTTTGAGAAGACAACTATGAGGTGGCTTCCTTTTAGCTCTCTTTTTGCAGTTGAAGAAGACTGTAGATAGGTCCTTCACTGTTCTAATCTTTAGATACCCAGTTGCAGAATGGCATCTAGTATCACAGTACACTAAATATATACTTTAAAAAAATTTATTTCTTTTCAGGTTTTGTGACTACTGGAGAGGATAGATCTCTTAGAATCTGGAAGAAAGGGGAATGTGCTCAAACAATCAGACTCCCAGCTCAGTCTGTATGGTGCTGCTGTGTGCTAGACAATGGTGACATTGTAGTTGGTGCAAGGTATCTGGGTTTTACCTTCTGTATTTTTTAGATCTAAATCTGCAAGCCGTAGATGAAATCAAAAGCATCACTGTGGATATCAGTTTCATTAATATTTTAAAATGCAGCCATCAAAGTGTGTATGGGGATTAAATTTAAACATGCTATCCTTCATCCAAAAAATCATTTTTTTATGTGAATCTCAGAGGTAGAGTGAGTTCTTCAGGCATGTGGTAAATCATGAATAGACTGAGTATGAAATTAAAAGTACTCTATAAAGACCCCTTGTGATAGGTATATCATACCTTGTTTTTTAGATTATACTGCAGACAGGGTTACCTGCTTAAGTCTTTCTCTGGGTGTTTTTAACATTGGAGCTAATTTGTTTCATACAAACAGTTGGGATGGGTTAGAAATAGTAGTTTCTTAAGACATAAAAGTCACTATTAGAATGTATGTGTTAATTTTGACATTTAAAATAGTATTTTTATTTGAATCTTCTCTCTCCATGCAGTGATGGAATTATAAGAGTGTTTACAGAGTCTTCGGAACGTACAGCAAGTGCTGAGGAGATTCAGGCTTTTGAATATGAGCTTTCTCAAGCATCTATTGACCCTAAAACTGGTGATTTGGGAGATATTAATGCTGATGACCTTCCTGGAAGAGAACATCTCAAGGATCCTGGTAAGTTCCTATATTTATGTTAGAGATGCCTCCAAATCTTGGTTCTGAGATACTAAAACTTCCCATAGTTTCCAAAATTTAGGCTTTGATCACTTTCATTAGAATTGTTGGAGAAAACAGCTTAATTCTGCTCTATTTTTTCAATCTTTCTTTGGAGGAAAGACTATAGTTTAATCATCTTTATTTTTGTAGACTGAAACGGTAAAAATGACTTCTTTTATGAGATAATTTAGAAAAAAGTGGAACTTGGGATGCCGCAATGCCTTCAATATGTTTTGGATCCATTATGCCAGCTGTGCCAGTAGTATATGAGGCAGTTACATAATTTGCAAAAGGACTACTGAATGTGGAAATTTTTTCCTAAAAGGAAAGTAAATGCAAATTTTCTGCTTTAGATTTCAGTTTGAAAAACAGTCTCGATTGACTCAGTTCATGCTTTCTGGGTAGTTGGGAGATTACTGAGAATACACTGGAAGCAGGTAGCTAAGATTACTCTTAAATACACAAATACTTTTTCCCAAGGCAGAGTAAGCAGTGACCTCAGGTCTTGACTCTGGTCAGCAAGTGGCGTCTTAGTCATATGCTTTCTGTCTTGTTAGATCATGGGTGATGCCCTTCTGTTAATTATAATTTCCCTGGGAAATAGGTAAACTTTTGAAATGCTTGACTTGGATTGCTCTTGCAGTTTAGTTTGGTGGCAGATACCATCACTAATAACTGTAAAATGACGTCAGTGTTTTTGCTATTGCGACATGTAGTACTGTGCCAGTTTTGGCTGGGGTAGAGTTAATTTTCTCCATAGAAGCTGGAAACAGTGCTGATAATTCGGGGATGTTTTCGTTGATGCTGAGCAGTGCTCATACAGAGTCAAGGCCTTTTCTGCCCCTCACCCCACGATCAAGGAGGCTTAGGGTACACCAGAAGCTGGGAACGGGACACAGATGGGACAGCTAACCCCAGCTGGCCTAAGGGATATTCCCTATCATATAATTCCATGCTCAGCATTTAAAGCTGGGGGAAGAAAGAGGAAGGGAGGAGGGGAGATAGATTTCAGAGCAATGGCATTTTGTCTTCCCAAGTCTCCATTACTTATGATGGAGCCCTGCTTTCCTGGAGATGGCTGAACACCTGCCTGCCCATGGGAAGTGGTGAATGAATTCCATGTTCTGCTTTGCTTGTGTATATGGCTTTTGCTTTACCAATTAAATTGCATCTCGACCTAGAAGTTTTCTCACTTTTATCATCCAATTCTCTCTCTATCCCACTTGAGGAGAGTGAGTGAGCAGCTGGGATTAAACCACAAGTATCTTGTTAGTTCCTTTGTTGTGTTTTGAAATGTCGGTGAACTATCTTTTCATCTTTAGATTTGAGCGGTATTTGAAGACGTTTTTACCTCCTAAAGTAGATCATATTCTTGAAAGTGTTCAAAGTCTTAAACGCTTCTGTCTACAGGAACAAGAGATGGGCAGACACGGCTTATTGAAGATAATGGGAAAGTAGAAGCTTATCAGTGGAGTGTTAGTGAAGGAAGGTGGATAAAGATTGGCGATGTTGTTGGTTCTTCTGGAGCCACACAACAAACGTCTGGAAAAATTTTATTTGAAGGAAAGGTACATGCAAACTTTAATTGTTTTATTTCTTCCTAAGTAAAATGCCTAATTTCCTATTAAAAATTATTCCCATATTTGCTTAAATGAAATATAATCTAGAAAATAGGTATTTGTTGGTACTTTTTTGTCTTTTTTGATCTGTTAAAACTCAGAGGTGTAACTGGGTACTGCTTCATACGTTACTTCTGAAACAGTGGAGAGGAATTATTTTGGAAAAAGCTAAACTGTTAGAGAAATTACCAAGTTCTCTAACATTCATTGCTAACACCCTGAAAAGTTACTTTTAACTTCCTTTCTAGAAGAAGTGAATTGTACAATTTATAATGGAAAGCGTACATAAAGTATTAGGCACCAGGCTTTCTGTGCCCCTTTTCTATAGTAACTTTTGAGCCTAAAGACAGGTAAGTTGAAAAATGTTTCCTTTACTGAAATATACACAGAAAAGACTTGTCTGGTGCCACCACAGAAGGAAAGCCTTTGAGATACTAATTTTCTCTCTCATATGTTTTAAAGAAATCTTAGGAATTTGTTATTTTCAAGTATTAGAAGCATGCTTTTAATACTGAAGTTTTATGAGGCATCTAACTGCCCTATAGCTTTGCAGGCAGGCAGAGCTGTTCATGAGAATTACCTGATGTATCTATTACTTTGTAATATATATCTGCATGTGCATTATCATGCTATATTGTTCTACTCTGCTCTTCTTGAGACAGAGAATTCTGCAAAACACAGGATGTGGTTTCAGTACTTTTTAATTGCAGCCCATGTAGGCAAGTATTATTGCTACAATTTGCAAGTAGCAGTGTTAAAGTTTTCAGGCTTAGCCCTGGTTGATTATTGGTCTGTGTTTGATACATCCTCATGTAATAACTGCTGACAAACTTCTGTTTTAATTTTTATTCTTATTCTTCTTAAAGGAGTATGACTATGTTTTCACTATTGATGTAAATGAAAGTGGGCCTTCCTACAAACTGCCATATAACATCACTGATGATCCTTGGCTGACTGCATACAACTTCCTGCAAAAGAATGATCTAAATCCTATGTTTCTGGATCAGGTGGCCAAGTTTATTATGGACAACACTAAGGGACAAACACTGAGTACAAGTTCTGAATTTTCTGATCCATTTACAGGTAAAAATTTTAAATTTGAATGATGACATCAGTCGTTTCTCCCGGTTTTGTGTCATCAGCAAACTTGCTGAGGGTGCATGCTGCCCCATCATCCAGATCATTAGTGAAGATATTGAACAGGACTGGATGTAGTACTGACCCTTAGAGTGCATCACCAGTGTCTGGCCTCCAGCTGGATACTGTGCCACTCCTTACCACTGACTGGGCCTTGTTCTTCAGTCAGTTTTCAATCCACCCCTCTGTCTGGCCAGGCAGACTGCAGCGTCATAGCTCTTGTGCTTCTTGTACAGGACTTCATTGTCTTCAGATGACTGAGAGCAAGGCCCAGATAGATCTGACAAGGCAAATATGAAAACCTGACAAATTTCTGAAGTTATTTGTCAGAACAAATCTTGAAAAAATTGGTAATCAAGCCAGTTGTATTTTTTAAGTCTAGTCTTTTTTTTTTTTTTTAATTTTTTCAGTGGGAGAAAACACCAGTTTTCATAGTAGTCCAAGAAGTGGCCAGCTGCTGTTAAGGCAGTTCATAATGTACAAAAATGTAGCTAGATAATGAACTGAAACTGAGTGAAATACATAAATTACCCTTTTCCAGGCAAGAACAAGTTAATTACTGATGAGCTGAACCATGTTAATTAATTATATCCTGCTTATCATATTTACAAAATAAACCACTTGTTTCAACTAGTTTCACAAAGAAGTTGGAAATAAAATGTCATCACACTAATTGAGCTAAATCTCCTTTCTTCTCATGAACTAGAAATAAGAATAAAGGCAAACCAGGTGCAGATGTAACTCATGGAGCTGCAGTCATCTGAACTTACATATTTTGATCTGGCTGTGTCCAAAAGTGTAATATATATGCTCCAGAAAACAAATTTCTGACCCTCAAATAATTAGGGAGAATTTCCTCATAATCAGGGAGCATATATGTGGATAGGATCAGATTTCTTATAATACCACAATAAACAGTAAGACTTATTTGTCGAGCTGAATTTTTGAGCTGCTTCTGTCTGAAAACTGTTGATGTTTTAGTAACATCAAACTGTGTAGCAGTCATTGCTTTTCTTACTGTTTCACTAGGTGCTGGACGTTATGTTCCAGGCTCTGCATCTGGATCAAGTACAGTACCTGGGGCAGATCCATTTACAGGTAATGCAAAATTCGTAATCTGTCTTGCAAGCATTTAAAATACATTTGTTATGGTGTTCAGTTGCATTCAGTTTTAGATTCCAGATGACTGTTTCTCACAGTTCTCTGTTTGGGGCAGTAGTTTGGGACAGACTGATAAGGTGGACATAGACCCTGCCACTGTCAAAATATGTCCAGATCTGTTTGCCAGAGGACAGCCTTCTGCCATCTGGTCTGCCTCATGTCACTCTGTCCTCTACAGCAGAGGAGTAAGGTCTTAAACCTTGTGTTTTGTCAAACTCTTATATGCATGGCCAACATGGGAATGGGTATATTCACAGAAGTACTTTTCCTTATTATTCCTTCTTTTGTAGTTTCCACCCTATATTTTAGATTCACACCCTCCCTGGCATAGCTAACTTAATGACCTCCTTACTAGTTCAGCAAACCTGTTGGAAAAGACATTCCAGCCCTGCATTGTCAGACTTATCCCATCTTTGACAAGTAGCTCTTGCTCCTCAAACAATGTCCTGTAGTCTATAGATACCCCATATTGGCAGTCTTTCTCTGTTCCTATTCTACTGTGGTCCCCATCTGTCTTTCCTTCCTGGCTTTGTGTGGCTCAGGCTGTGGTCTCTGCAGATGCATAGACCCTGCAGTTCCTTCACCAGAGGCCTCAGTACCACAGAGTCCACCTCTCCTTGGAGAGGGAAGCCAGGCCTGGGCAGCCAGTGCCCTCCCCTTTGAAGCTTGACATGTATAAGGTATTGCTGTGATGAGGGCCTTGGCACCAGTGGGTGCCATAAACCATGCCAGAATGTCTCCCAGCTGTGGGTCATTCAGCTTGTAATGCCATTGTTACCTCCAGCACCACACTCACACATAGGCTTAGATTTAATCCTTAATTTTAGGAATTGATGAAGACTTGTTTTAACTCCTCTAGTGCAAAATAACATGCAAAATAACACCTTTAATAGTGATGGTTGAAAAGTAGTAAATAAATACAAATATACATTACCTCTTCACCAGTGGTAGTGTTTAAAAAGCTTGATGTTTCTGTTCAGGTGCTGGTCGCTATGTTCCTGGCTCAGCATCAAATGAAGTAGCTCCAGTGGGTGGGGTTGATCCATATACAGGTAAGAGATGATGCCTGCTAATGAAAAGCATCCGCGATCTTTTGCTTTTTTTCTGTTGACATGGATTCTGTATTCATGCAAATTTATACTTAATTTAAAATAATAAGCAGATTGAAGCTGCTTTTACTACTCTTTTTCTAAAGAGATTTCAGGCCACTATTGCATATGACATAACTTGGTCATATATATTGGAAGATACGCAGAAAAAAAATTGCCTATTCATTATGAAAGTAATCAAAGGATAAGATTTCAGGGGCAGGAGGGATCTTTTCTCTAAAATGAAGCTTGCCATTTTCATGTCTTAAGTGCAATATCCATTCCTATGAAAGACTCTGCATTTAGTTCATGTAATTGAAAAACCACTGTTACTAATTTGCACTCATATAGTAAATTTTTACACAAGGGAAGAAAATTTGTAATAGTATTGCTTTAAATTTTAACTGTTGAAAAATAATGTAAGGAATGACAACTATTTGCATAAGCATTCAATTTTTTTAAAAGGTGTTTCTTCCGAGGAGGGTCTTACTGATAGGATATTGTTCTCTGTCAGGTGCTTTGGTACACTGTTGAACTTTTTGTGTTTTCTTTATGTAGGAATGGGTGCCTACCAGTCATCTGAAGCTAAAGTTGAAAATATTTATTTTCCAAAAAAGGATGCTGTCACCTTTGACAAGGCCAACCCTTCACAGATACTGGGTCAGTGTTTTAATTCCAGTGATGGTTTTATTTTTCATCTGTTTGGAATTAACTTCATTTTTGATTTTTTCAAAAAGCTAGTTGAACTCCAATAGCTTTCCTACTGTTTCTTGGTTTTGACCTTTTAAAATTGCATTCATCACTTGAATGGTGCATGTATTTGGAGGATTAGGAGTATGACTGAATTTCATAAGAACTCTGCCTAATTCAGAATATCATATCTTCCCCACCTTGGCTTGTATCTGCTGTTGTTTGGTATCTATTTTTATTAAGCTGGTATATTTGAACTACTGGGTATGCAGGTCTTGTACAATTCCTTCCTGATTTTTGCCCATAGTTCACCAGATAGCTATATAATGTAATGTGTGAAGTGCCGAAGTATGGCATTTTGCACTTTCACAGATTGCAGCGTTCATTTCTGTATTTAAAAGGAACACTGCATAACAGGAAGAGAAAACAGTATACAGTATTTACAAATTATACATGTTTGATAAAAGCTATTATTGGCTTGGTTTTCAGTCTCAGAATCTGAGTGTTTATTATTACCAGTTAACGTCAGTATGTTTCTTTAGAGTGCCTTAGTACATTTAAGGGTTTTGTAAAACTAGCTTGTATTCATAATATACCTGCTATGTACTAATGTGCTGCCTGCTTGTGTGTTTACTGACATGGCCCTCATGAATTCTGGAAGAATCATGACTGGGAGGTGTTTAATGTAAGATCTATTTCAAGCAAAATGTTGTATATTAAAATTTTTTCCAATACTGTTTTAAATTGCCTTGAAATCTGAATATAGGACATGGTGCAATCATATTTTGCTTATGGCACCTCAATTAAATAAAAATACAGAAACCGATTACACTAAGAATATACAGTTTTTGTCTAAAAATGGAAAAGATCAAAAAGTAATCACATTTCAGTTAAGAAAACTACTAGCACTGTGATTCTATTCTGCATTTTTGCCTGTATATAGGCTAAGATGTGAATTCTGAATATTTGGCAGTATATCAGAGAGGGCTTAATTGTTGCAATCATTGTGATGATTAAAACTTAAAAATAGGAAATTACGGAACTGGGAGAAGTAATGTTTAAAGATCTAGCCCACACCCCTTCCCCCCCCAAAGAAACCAAATTACAGTATTTGCAACTTGTTTGTAAAATGTTTATGTAGTATGTAATTCAAGATCTGAATTTGTGAAGTTCTAATGTCAGAGATCCATGCTTATTCTACTGTTCTTACAGGCAAATTAAAGGAACTTAACAGCAGTACAACTGAAGAGCATAAGCTTACAGAAGATGACTTGATAATCCTAGAAAAGTTGTTGTCTGCAACATGCAACACCTCTGCAGAAACACCTACAGCACAGCAACTTCAGACTTTATGGAGAGCAGTTAACTGGCCAGAAGGTAGATACTTATGATTATTTTTTGTACCATCATCTTGTCAATAATTGATCATCAATACTATGAACACATCAATACTATGAACTAGAAGTCCCACTCTGCTGGCTGTTGCAATGGGGCTGTCCCAAATAGAAACCAGAAGATGGTAAACAGATGTTAATAGCACTGATAAGTAGCAGGTGCAGTGGCACCAATTGCAAAATTGGTAGCACCAATTGCAGAATTGGTAACTGGTCAGCTTTTGCTGTTGGCACAATAGTAAACATGAAGCAGAAAGTTGATATAAACATAAGGTATTTCATTATCAGGAGCATCCTCGAGAAAGATGTCCGAGTCTTGTTTGAAATAAAACAAGAATGTGAGGTTGGAGTCCTAAATTATCAAATGAGAGATTAAATTTATGGAGATAAATTACTTAAAAAAAAAAATCTCAAAAGTATCTCCTGTTTAATGTGGTAGAAAAGAAACTAGGTTATATGGTCAGAACTGCATTAGTGAAATGACATTCTGAATGAATAGAAGCGAAGGTGATAGAATTTCATTTGATAACATAGAGTTGTCAGCACTGATGTATTGGAAAGACTATTTCAATTGTAAGGGCACATTTGGAAAAAATGGATACATTGCATGTACAGATATCTAAACATCCAGTTGAACTGCTTTCTTGAAATTGCAGTTCAAGATTTATTAATGGGGAAATTATTCTGCTGTTAAAAATTCATGTACATTATATAACATCACTTAAACTATGTTTTTGCATAGCTGCTGATGGCTAACATATTCATACCTTCCAGACTCTTTGCATAGTATAAAGCATTAAATCTCAGGATTCTGCATGTCTGCAGGGAAAACTGCCCAGTAGCTAGCTAAGCAGGTTCAGCTTTGATTTGGTTATAAGCACAGGATACCAACAGCAGACCCAGGAAGCAGATATATTTGAAATTTGGGTAAGTGGTGGGAACAAAATCTGAGTTCCACTTCCTTACAATGATTTCCAGCTGACCAGCTGAGAACATCTTTTTACTGTTGTTGGTTTTCTTTGCAAATTATATCTGAGAGCTGAAGGTCTAATTTTCTTTTTTAATCAATTTTCTTTCTGTAAGCAGTTTTGTGGTTATACCAGACTGCAAGATACAGAATGAGGACAAAAGGAGATGCTGCCTATGTAGGGGTGTTAAGTCACTGAGAAGCTTTCAGAGATGTTTTGGATTAGTTAACCGTATTTTGTGTTTGCCTTCAGTGTTATCAATTAGTTTTTAGGATTTTAAAACTTTTGCAAAGCACTGTGTTTATCCTAAATTAAAGACCATGGTCTTTTTGTGATTAATTGAAGTTTTACTAGAAATAGGTTTGTCAACACTTCTCTTTATTTCAAACAGCTTGCTTTCTTTCTGCTTGAAACTGCTTTTTGTTCCCAAAGCTAGGGATTTAAGGAAGTCTGTATCTGAAAGAAAATCAGCAGCACACCTATATGTAACGCAATATTAATACTAAAACATTTTTTTGTTTTGTTTCTTAGATATTGTCTTTCCAGCCCTAGACATTCTTAGATTGTCTGTCAGGCATCCCACTGTGAATGAGAACTTCTGCAATGAAAAGGATCACGTACATCTTGCCATCCTCCTTAAATTTCTGAACCCTAAAGGAAAGCAAGCAAACCAGCTGTTGGCACTTAGAGCTCTTTGCAATTGTTTTGTCAGCCAGGCAGGCCAGAAGCTCATGATGGAACACAGGGGTGAAATAATGACACAAGCAATAGAAACAAAATCGGGCAATAAGAACATCCACATTGCACTTGCCACACTGACACTGAACTATGCTGTGTGTTTACATAAAGACAACAACATTGAGGGCAAAGCTCAGTGTTTATCAGTAATCAGCACAGTTATGGAAGTTGTTCAAGATCTTGAAGCTGTTTTTAGACTGCTTGTGGCTCTTGGGACGCTGATCAGTGATGATACAAATGCTGTGCAATTAGCTAAGGCTCTTGGAGTTGATTCTCAAGTAAAAAAGTATGCCTCTGTATCAGAGCCAGCTAAAGTAAAGGAATGCTGTAGGTTTGTGCTTAATCTGCTATAATTATTTTTCTTCGCACTTGGGAAACACTGTATGCAGAAAAAAGATGCTTTTGTTCCTATTTTGTGACAAACTACAATTGAGAAAACACTGGGGATGAATTACACTTGGTTTGTTGCAAGACACAGAGCAAATAAAACTTTTTACACTCTTTGTCATTTGACTGCTTTTCTGAGGTCTGTAGTGCATAGGATCTTCACAGGAAGTCCTTTTGATGTAGCTCGGATCAAAATAGATCACCAAGAAGTCAGACAATCTTGTAATTAAAGGTTACCTAGATGGCAATGTAGGAACTGGCTATGATTCAGTGACCATTAACTCCCAGCATTCACCTCAGGAATATTTCTGCTTTTCCGCACGAGCCTTTTTCTTGACTCCTTTTTTGGTCAGGGGATACGGGGCTCTGAGAACTGTTCAGTAGTGCTTTTCACATACTTACCAGTGGTTAATATTAACCCTGGTCAAATATTCTGCTAAGGAAATGATATTTATCTCATTTTGCATCTGCTTTTTTCCACTTCCTTTTGAAACCGAGCTGTTTTATGGCTCTTTAACCTAGAACTAGGTGACTTTTTGAGGGGTGGAATCTTTAATTGTCATGTAGATGTTGCACTTCACTGATAAAGTGAGTATCTTGTAGCTTGTAAAATGGCTTGAAGTTCTACAATAGCTTTTAATTTCTAATGACAGGGATACTCCACCATTTGATAGCGAGTATCTCATCCCAAAGCATGTTACATAACAGGTGATTAAAATGAAATAAAAAGTAGTTTTTGGGAGAGAAATTCAGGTGCAGAGAACATACTGAAGAGCATAAACTGGAAGAGACTTCCTAGAGGTGGTTGATACCCCAGGCCTGTCCCTGTTTAAGGGGCATTTAGAAAATGCCCTCAATTTTAGCTTTAACAGCATTAACTTTTGGTCAGCTATAAAGTGGTCAGGCAGTTGGCTAGATGATCATAATAGGTCCCTTAGAACTCAAATACTCTATTCTAAACTGTACAAATGTAAAGTCAAGTTTTACGAAGTAGCTTTAACGTAGTAACTGTGGTGACTGTGAAAAGGGAAAATAACATTTTACAGCTATTTGAGCAGATCAAGATGTTCAGCTCAAAAGGGGATATGATTTCCTACAAATGTTACACTGGTTTAGAATTAGGATGCAATCAAGATGGTCAATGTTCAAGTTACATTTTTCATTTGACTAATAGAGTGGAAAACATGAAAAAAAATTGGCAAGATTTTCAGACACACGAGCTCTTTGTCACAGTACCTGTCTGCCTCATTTGTGCTAGGTGTGAAGGATCGTGTAACCAAGAGCTCTAACTTTTTTTTGCTCCATCCAGTGAACTGTGAGTTACTTCCAGCAGACCTTGTTTCTTGGACGCTTAGTTGCACACTTGCAGTGTTACAATTCTGATAGATTTTCTGATACATATCCTCACAGTCTTGATTACAGCTTTAGTCACAGGCTTTCTTATTCAGTGCATCACAGGTTCATGTGTAAGGCAGTCCAAAAGCTTACTCATGATTTACAGTGCTAAACAATAGATCAGCCTCTTCTTGGGAAAGTATCTAAGAGGCTATCTTTAGGAAACATGTCTGTGAAATGATGTGCCTGTCTATTGAATTTTGGTTGCCTATTATATAATTGTTCTTGAAGCTTGGGCTTTTTAATGTGCTTTTCAACTGTGTTTGTAGACATGCTATTTTGAGAAATCTATATTCAACTAACATTTTGGTCTTATTTCTGTGGGATTGCTGTGTTACAGATTACCTCTTTACGTGAAAATTGTCATGAATTTTCCCAGACCAAAAATCAGTGTTTGTGTTAATAAATACATTTTGGCAACTCTAAGAAATGGTACATTAAGAGGTACTACAAAATTAATTTCAAATTGCAGGGAGATGGCGGGGCACAGCAACAAATCCTTCATGTGGGGATTGCAGCATTGTGTTAGGTAAGATACACAAATCAGGCCAGAAACATTTGAATAGGACAGCTGCTACTACAGGGTACTGTGGTACCTGACCATTCCATGGTTTAGCGCTGTCTGAGGAGAGAGTGGGAGTCATTGGATTCCATTCCCATGGGAACTGTTGGAGACTGTCTCCACAGAGATGTGCAGTAGCAGCATAGGCTGGTAATAAGAAAAAAAAAAAAAAAGTTGCAATACACACCAGGATCTTACAGTATGTTGTAACATCTTACAACAGGGTTTTTTGGTTTGTTTTTTTTCGTTGTTTTGCTGAGGTTTTTTATTGTCACAGAAGTGTGGTGGTGTTCTTACACTTTCATGTGTTTGTGCAGCTTTCAGTGAAGATTTTCCCAAGCTAGTAACACTCAGTATGTGTTAACACAGGTTGAATGCAAAAATAGGAGAACCTCACGTATTTTACAGAGCAGAGTACCTTTTTTTTTCTGTCTTTAGATGTATAACTAGATGTCCTCTTTTTGTCAGCATTACCTTGAAAATAAGTAACTGTTACTGGTCTTGTTTTAAATTACACTGTTCTGAAACTCCTCTGTGGTACAGGTAAGCATGCTTGTACATGAACACACACATATATATATATATATGTGTACTACACAATCTGCTGCTGAGATCACTAACAACTAGAAGACCTTACGGTTGCCACCAGGATGAAATTTCTGTTTTGGTGGAAGGATACTAAATCTATGGTTAGGAAGTGTGCCACAGAAGAGGTCCATGGTATACATTGTATAGAATATTTTGAGGACACTGAAAACAATTATGTGCCTAGCACAGAACTCAGCTTTCTGTCCACAGCATTAAAACCTCAAATAGCTTGTTCTGTGTACTAAGTGCTCCTGCTGTGATTCATCAGGAGAACAGTAAAAAGTATGTTTGAGAGATTTCAAGAGCCCCTTGGTGAGAAACTGCGTCTTCTGCTATGAATTCAAAGCTTCTCAGTAGATGATATAATCATTATTTCGGCATCTTTTTCCAAGCTAGAATGGAAGCTCATAGAACAGCAAATAACATGTAATAGCACTTTACATTAAACTTTTCTCAGTAGGCCTGCTTTAGGTTGTATGAAAGGGAAGTACTTGGGATCTGCTTAGACCATCACTCAACATACAATATGAAATGTCTTACTAGGGAACTGAATGAGGAATCAAAACTGACTTAGGTGAACACCAGCTGCTGTACTTGCCAAAACAAATGGAGACTACAGACACTTAACTGGGGATATATAAATTGCAAGATTTCCATAATTATGTTTATTATGATGGACCTTGCCCTCCCCAAGGTCTGATCTTAAGCAGACTTTTAAAATCTACTCAGGTTGCAGGCAGAAATAGACTAACTTCAGTCTGCAAACCTATTTCATTAAAAGCATTAAACTATACATTCATGAATTGTTGGATGCAGTCTCTCCTCTATGATGTAATACACTAAATTAATCCACTAGAGAAGCGTAGTACTGTAGATCAATACTAAAGGGGTAACTAAATGATTTAGGAAATGTTACTATCTGCTGGTTCCAATTCTGTGAAGTTCTTTGTTTAAAAATATTTAGTTAAGCAGTCTTAGCTGATCACTTACTATATCCTATGATCATTTTCCCTTTTTTTCCTCACTCTCCTTTAAAGTATCAACAAATCCAAAGTCTTGCAACAGCAGACATTTCTCATCTTTTAATAATGTGTGCTGAATAGATTGTGAAATTAAACGTTCAGCAGCAAGATCACAGAATCATAGAACGATTTGGGTTGGGAGGTACCTTAAAGATCATCTAGTTCCAACCCCTCTGTCACAAGCAGGGATGCCTTCCACTAGACCAGGTTGCTCAAACCCCATTCAACATGGCCTTGCATATGCAACCGTATAAATATATATATGTATTTATACATATGTATGTATACATATTTGTATGTATATTTATATGTATAAATATATATATTTATATATATTTATTATATGTATACATATATTTATACATATATATGTATATGGCAACTGCAGCCAAAAAGAGGAGAACCTGTGAAAGCAACAGCCCTGCAGACATCCACGTCAGTGCAGAAGGAGGGCAGGAGGTGTTCCAGGTGCCAGAGCAGAAATTCCGCTGCAGCCCATGGTGCAGCTCATGGTGAGGCTGCTGAGCCCCTACAGCCCGTGGAGGTCCCGTGGAGGTTAAACCGTCCCTACGAAGGGTCAAAGATACTTTTGTAAACGGGTGGCCTGCCTACGTTTGCGAACAGTTGTATCCCCACCTCGCTACCCGAAAAACATTACAGAAAGATCCCAAGACCGCTCCAGACCCGGGCAAGCGGAAAGCCTGCGCAGTGCGGAGCCGCTCTCGCCGCAGCTGTCCCGTCGCGGCGGGGGCTCTGCAGACAGGACCCCGCTCACCTCAGCGGCCGCCGGAAGGGGCGTGGCACGCGGCGCTGCGGCCTGTGAAGGCTCCGCCGGAAGGCGGGCCGGTGGCGGCGCGTCGATGCGGAGTCGGCGGGCCCCAGGGGGGGATGCCGGGCAGGAAGTCCTCCCGCGACAAGAAGCGGCGCCGGTCGCGGTCCTGCTGCCCCGAGGGAGCCGCGGTGGACAGCGGTGACAGGAAGCGGCGGAGGACTGAGTTTAGCCACGGCGCCACAGAGGTAGTGCAGGAGGGAGGGGCAGCCTAACGCTGCTGCGTATCCTCCGCCTCTGACTGGGAGAGCTCGGGCCGCTCCCCGTTGCCGTCCGCCCGTCTCCCTTCCGTGGCGCCCGGCGGTCGCTGCCGTTTGGCTACGACAGGGACCGTGGGCCAGTGACCGTGCCCTCTTCTCGGCCGGCAATTGCGGCCGGCTGCTGCCCGCGCCGCACCGGGCAGAACGCGACCGGTAGCAGAGACATGCCAGTGCGGCCTCCGAGGTGAGGCTGGTCCTGGTGTGTGGGTCTCTCCGAGGAGATGAAGGTGCGCCAGGACACGCACTCGCGTGACGCACCCTCCTCAGTGAAGTGTGGGATGTCAAAGCGTGTTTCTGGCTGTAAATTACGAGATTACTGATGTTACTGTACAGCAAATCAGACAAACGGATTTTTGCTGCTTTAAAGCATGCTTTCACATATAAACAGCAGCTAGGTATTTGCAGCTAATATTTTACAGTGAGTGTTTAAAAGCATGTTTCACTTCCTTAAGCGTTTAAA